TGTCAGTCATACAGAACGTGTTCTGGTGTTTTGCTACATTAGTAAAGTAAGTCTCTTGCTATAAAAATATGCCTTAAGATGAATCCATAATATGTGTGTGTTAATATGTGAGGGTTCATTATCTCAGTGTTGTACTTTTGGTGTTCTAATCCTTGAAACATTCTCTAAAGCTAAGATGTCAGTATTTTATAGCAAATTTCAAGCCATGATTCATCCTAGGTAACATCGTACCGTTTTTTTGCATCACTGTTGGTGTACATGTATGACATACCAAAAGTGTTTCAAGACTAAAAAAAAAAATTACAGATGAAGAATGGAGTCCTGGAATAAACAGTTTAGCCCATTTAAATATAGTATGCCATAAGACAGGTAAGTCACTCTGTTAGTCATTGGTTACAGCATTTTAAGCAACCTAGAGTTAAGATCATTATTGAGCTTACTAAGAGACAGAAGGAAGTCTTTGATTAGAGATGTTAACCTACATCCATGCTGTCCAGCATGGCAGTAAGGCTACTGAACACAGGAAATGTGGCTCATGAGACCTAGGAATTATGCTTTTTTTTTTTTTTTAATTTAAAATTTGAGGTGATTTTAAATCCATCCATTTGAAGGGTAGAACAGCAAGGAGAGGGAAAGAGTTATATTTTCTGATTTTCACTCCCCAAATGTTCACAACATCTAGGACAAAACGAGGGACCAGGAAGTCTCTGGGTTTCCCATATGTGTGACAAAGACCCACCTGTTTGAGCTCTCTTCTGTTACCATCCCGGATGCATGAGGTAAAGCAAAGCAGCCAGAACTCAGACCAGCACTCTGAAACAGAGTGACAGACACAAGCAACAGCTTATTTCCCCGCACCACACAACGGGTCCCTATCTTTCTCTTAAATTCTTGCTTTGGGAGGACATTTCATTTTAGATTTTGAAAACTTGATGTCCAGTTTGAGATGCAGTATCATTGTGAAAATATTCAGATATCAGTTGTCTAGTACATTTAAAAAGAATGTAGGATACCTCATTAATTTGTTTATATGTATAATTAAAGTGGTAATTTACTGGGTGATTGGTATTAGATATGAAGAAAAGTTTTCATTGTATATGTTGACTCATCAATATTTAATTGTGAGTAAAGGAAATAGAATGAAAAATTTTTAATGGGAAATGTTGAAGCTGTATTAATTTATAATTATTTTATTTGAAATGGTGCCAGTGCTATAGATTAATCTTCCTCCTGCTGTGCTGGCATCCCATATCAGTGCCAGTTTGAGTCCTGACTGTTACACTTCCAATTCATCTTTTGCTGATTTGCCTGCAAAATATGGCCCAAATTCTTAAGCCCCTGCAGCCACATGTGAGAGACCCAAGAAAAGCTCCAGGCTCCTGGCTTTGGACCAGTCCAGCTCTGACCATTGCAGCTATTTGGGGGAATCAATCAGTAGATAAAAGTCTCCCCCCCTCTCCTTTCTTTCCCTCCTCCTCGTCTTCCTCTCTCTCTGTAACTTTGCCTTTCAAATAAAAACAAATCTTTAAAAAAAAATCTCCCATCCACTGGTTCACCCCAAATGGCCAGAATAGCTAAGGCTGTGAGGAGCCAAGAATTCGACTGGGGACTTTCACATGAGTGGCAGCGAGCCAACCCCTTGAGCCATCACCTGCTGCCTCATAGGGTGCGTGCACATTAGCAGGAAGCTGGAATCAGAAGCACAGCCAAGAGTCAAACCTGGGCATTCTAATAGGAATACCTGCATCCCAAGCCATGTCGTAGCTGTTAGATCCAGTGTCTGTCCCAGTTTTGCTTTTTAAAGATTTATTTCCTTTTTATTTGAAAGATTTTTACAGAAAGATGAAGCAGAGATAGAGTTCTGCCAACCACTGGTTTACTCCCCAAATGGTCACAAGAGCCAAAGCTGAGCTGATTCAAAGCTTTTAAAATAAATCTTTTTAAAAATTCAGTCTATTCAAAGCCTTGAGACCCTGTACTGTGTGGGAGACCAAGAAGAGGCTCCAGGCTCCTGGCTTCAGATTGGTGCAGCTCTAGCCATTGCAGTGGCTTGGGGAGTGAATCAGTGGACAGAAGCTCTTCCTCTTTATCTCCTCTCTTTATATCCTTTCCAAAAAAAATTTAAATTAAAAAAAAGGGTTGCCCAGCGTTGTGGCCTGGCGGCTAAAGTCCTCACCTTGAACACAGTGGGATCCCATATGGGTGCCGGTTCTAATCCCGGTGGCTCCGCTCCCCATCCAGCTCCCTGCTTGTGGCCTGGGAAAGCAGTTGCTTCAGATCAGCACAGCACCGGCTGTTGCGCTCACCTGGGGAGTGAATCATTGGACAGAAGATCTCCTATCTGTCTCTCCTCCTCTCTGTATATCTGACTTTGTAATGAAAATAAACTAAATCTCAAAAAAAAAAAAAAATGTGTTGGCGCTTGGGCCCGGTGCGATAACCTAGCAGCTAAAATCCTTGCCTTGAACACACTGGGATCCCATATGGGCACTGGTTCTAATCCCAGCAGCCCTGCTTCCCATCCAGCTCCCTGTTTGTGGCTCGTGAAGGCAATCGAGGATGGCCTAAAGCCTTGGGACCCTGTACCCATGTGAGAGACCCAGAAAAAGCACCTGGCTCCTGGCTTTGGATTGGCTCAGCTCCAGCCATTGCAGCTACTTGGGGAGTGAATAAAGGATGGATTTATAGAAAAAAGAAGGCATCTTCCATCTGTTGGTTTGCTTGTTTATTTCCCCAGTAGCCAGAGCTGAGCTGGTCAAATACAGGAGTCTGGGGCATCTAAGTCTCCCACATAAGTGCAGGGGCCCACATATCTGGGCCATCCTTTGCTACTTTCCCAGGCACATTCACAAGGAGCTGGATGAGAAGTGGAGCAACCAGGATTTGACCCAACACTCGTAAGGGATGCTCGCTCCACTAGTGTAGGCTTAATCTACTATGGCACAGCATCAGTTCCAAAACTTAAAAAGATTGGTTTGTCTCTCATGTTAAACACCCACCAGTGATTTTGATCTAGGCTGGCAGAATAGAACCAGAAAGTTACCTGCCATTGTGAAGAGGTAGTTCATGAAAGCAGCACTAGCTTTGGAAACTGTCACCTGAAATTGATGTACAGGACTTACGTTTTCAGTGGAACAAGCAAGTCATAGCCACAGCTGACTTCGGCTGGGCTAGGCTAAGAAAAATTGCAGTCCTACTTTTTTCCCAGGAGAGAGACTCATCGTAATAGCTCTAATGATTGCCACAGGCCACTGTTTGAATTACTCATGTGTTATTTTACTTTTTTCCCTGAAGAAAATATAGTGGGAGAAAACCCCCAAGTCCCAGCTGGTCACATATTAGCTCCTGCGATGATGTGTTCTCTCCACTGCCAGGTTATAGTGGTGACACAGGGACAGGAAGGCCGCGGGAAGCACTTCATGCAGAAAAGGAATGAAGTCAACACGTGCCACAGGAGAGACCATCTGAGGACCGCAGGACCTGGAACAGCTTCCCCAGGCCACACTTCCTCCATGGCACTTCACACTGCTTTTTCCTGTCTTCACAAGTGCCACCAGTAGTAACCGTGATATTTAGATCCTTCGTGTCTGTGTTCTATTTTATAGTTTCAAGCTTACTCATTTCCTTCCTTCTAAGTTTGCACATGTGAGTTTTGGCATCCTTTTCAAGTCACAAGGTAAGTATGACTGTGTGAGAGGCTGTAGGGAAAAAAAGGGGGTGGACGTTTTTGTGGTTGAATAAGGGGAGAGCATCCTGCCTTGGAAGGAGACCTGCACTCGCGCATCGGAAGTCTTGCTCAGATCCAAGAAGCCTGTTACGTGGGTCCCAGCCCTTTCCTGGACTCTCCCTAAGGCCAGGAGGACTATTAGGCCTTGACACTGTATTGATCAAATTCCAGGAAGAATTTGGGAGTTCCCATACCCAGAAAGTCCTCTGCCCGGCAGTATCCAGAAGAGGGAGCTGCAAAGAGAAATAGGACCCAGATCTATAAAAACTGGCCCAAACTGGAGTTTGAATGCAAACCAGGCTCTCAGTGCATGCACTTTACTGAACTAGCATGCACACTGCAGTCTGTTCACATCTGACATTCTGTGATAGCCACCTCCAGTAATACTTGCAATTTCTGATGAGTTTCCCTCAGCCCTTTTACTCAACCCCAACAGCATCCATCCAGGTGAAATAGACAGGATCCTGCACCCGTGTGGGAGGCCTGGAAGAAGCTCCTGATTCCTGGCTTCAGATCAACTCAGCTCTGGCTGTTCTGAGCATTTGGGGAGTGAACCAATAGAGGGAAGACCTCTCTGTAAAAATCTGCCTTTCAAGGAAAAAGAAATTAGAAGTTCTATTCATGTATTTGGAAGGCAGAAATCTTCCATCCATTGGTTCAGTTCACACCCCCAAAATCTGCTAACAACCAGGTCTGGGTAAAGCCAAACCCAGGAGCCAGGAACTTCATCCAGGTCTCTCCTGGAGGTGGGAGAGTCAGGATCTAAGCCATGTATTTGGGCCCATGCCATCCCTGCGGGAAGCCCAGAAGGTATGCTCCTAGCTCCTGGCTTCACCCAGAGCTTGTTTCAGCGGCGATTGAACAGGGAAGAAGTCACTTCTGGGCAAGGAAACCAACAGCAGACAGTCCCTGCTCCCGCGGGGGTGAGGAGAGGCGGCGTGGTGCTATGCAACCTCACAATCTTCTGCCCCGCTGGGCCGGCTGTGTGTGAATGCAGGTGGGACGGATGTGCAAAGTGTGTAGCTGTGGTGTGTGTGTGTTGTAGGTGAGGTGCACCTCCTTGAGAAGACGTGGGAAACGTGTATACTGCGGTAGGCAGATGTAGGGACTCAACGAAGTACCCTACTGCACGCCGCCTGTCTCTAAGACTGCACATGCGCGACTCCGCCCGAAGCCCCGCCCCGCGCTGCCAACCCCGCCCCGCCGCACTTTACGGCTCGGCCGGCCGCTTTTACTGCAGTTGCTCCTCCGGCCTCCGCTGCTCCCGCCGGAGCTGTCGTGAGGTGAGTTGAGGTGTAGCGCTGGGCAGGGGCCGCCGCCGCCCGGCCAGAACTGCAGGAGGACAGCAGGGTCGCCTCGCGGGGCGGCGGGGACGGCGGGTCAGCAGCTGCCGCTTTGTGTCCTCAGCTCCAGTCCGGTGTGCGCTGCTGCAGGGAGGCCGCCCGGGGCCCGGCGAGCCGAATCAATGCTGGACCTGGAGGTGGTGCCTGAACGCTCTCTGGGGAACGAGCAATGGGAATTTACTCTGGGTGAGTCCGGGGTCCTCCGCCAGGACTGCCCTTGGGACCCTTCCCGCCTCCTGGGGCCCTCAGCTGTTCATGCCCGGGGCAGCCAGGACTCGATGCGGCCGTCAGTCGCTGCGCGGCTCTCGGGGCCTCCGCAGGGTCCTTCCAGGGGTTCGAGGGACGGCGGTGATAAAAGCTGCACGCCGCGAGCCCTTGCTTCGTGGCCGGCTCTGCTCCTCGGAACGCGGTCAGCTGGAGTAGTCCGCGCTCGGTCGGCCGGCGTTATCGGTCGTGTTGTTTTTCCCTTGCCCATTTGACGGAGCCTGTCTCCGCCCCCAATAAGCGGTGCATTTCCCATTTTTTGGAGAAATTAACATTTGGAGGTCTGGTCGAAGAAGTTGAGGAGTGTGTGTGTGAGGAACTTCTGACTTGTTTGCTTGCCTTCTGAAATGCGGCCGCTGTGATGGTGTCTTCCCAAACCCAGAGCTCAGCTGTGAGCCATAAAGGTTAAATGGAATGACAAGCTGGGGGGAGAGTAACCCATGGTTCCTAACCCATGGACTGGTGGCTTTGGGGTTCGCTGGCGCAGCTGGCTCCCCCCACCCTCTTCCTTCCACATCTTGATGTGTTAAGGCAGTTTGCCCTCAGAAACCCCAGTGTGTTTACTTGGATGTCACGGCTCTGAGAACAAGAGGGGGTGGGGAGCGGCCAGGGTGATGCTTGTTTGTGCAGGCCTGAACTTTTGTCCCTCTCGTGTGGGCTCTGGGACTGAGTCACGGCTCCTCTGGGTAATAGCTCATGCTTGCATGTTTCAAAGACCCATGTCTGCCGAGGCACAGACAACTGCCTGGAGAAACCTGGCCATGTGACTTGCTGGTAGGCCCCACGCGCAGGGCAGGAGAAAGACTGTTCTCTCAGAACTTAAGTCACTCCTGACAGAATTCTTGCTGTGGGGATGGGCTCTGTTGTGCTGTAAAGATCCAGAACCCCAGCCAGAAGCTTCATCTGGGTCTCCTGTGTGGGTGGCAGGGACCCAAGGACTTGCTTGGGCCGCCATCAGCTGTTTTTCCTAGGTCATTAGCAGGGAGCTGGGTAGGATGTGGAGCAGCTGGGACTGTAGGCAGTACTGCTGTGGGTTGCTGGCATGGCAGGTGTGCCTGCTGAGCTGCAAAGATAGCTCCTCATCTGGCTCCAGACTCCAGCTTCCTGGGAGTGCAAACCCTGGAAGGCAGCAGTAGTGACTCACTTAGGCTTCTACCTCCGGGGTTTCCAGACTTCAGCCATAGCCAGTTTGGGCCTTTGAAGAGTGAACTAGTGGATGGGAGGTCTTTTGGTCTGTTTGTCTCTTAAAAAATAGAAAATAATTAAAAGTTTAAAGGTGTATTTGAAAGACACAGTTATAGAGAGCAAGGGAGTGTTCTTCCATTTGCTAGTTCATGCCCCAAATGGCTGCAGTGACTGATGTTGGGTCAGACCAAAGCCAGCAACCAGGAGCTTTTTGCAGGTCTCCCATGTGGGTACAGGGGCCTAAGAACTTGGGCCACCTTCTGCTGTTTTCCCAGGTGCATTGGCAGGTAGCTGGATTGGAAGTGGAGCAGCTGGGACACAAACTACTTCCCATATGGGATGTTGGCATTGCAATGTGCCACAGTGCTGGCCTCTTATTAAAATTTTAAGTAGCAGGCCCAGCGCAATAGCCTAGTGGCTAAAAGCCTAGTCCTGCAAATGCTGGAATGCCATATGGGCGCTAGTTCATGTCCCAGCTGTTCCACTTCCCATCCAGCTCCCTGCCTGTGGCCTGGGAAAGCAGAAGATGGCCCAACACCTTGGGACCCTGCACCCCCATGGGAGACCCAGAAAAATCACCTAGCTCCTGGCTCCTAGCTTTGGATCAGCTCAGCTCTTGCCATTGTAGTCACTTAGGGAGTGAACCAGCAGATGGAAAATCTTTCACTCTGTATCTCCTTTTCTCTGTATATCTGCCTTTCCAATAAAAAATAAATCTTTAAGTTTTTTTTTTTTTCTTTTTAAGTAGCAGCGAAAAACTAAAGAACATTTCTGTACATTAGGTCCTGAGTTAAACTTTAGGGGAAAGCCTATACAGGGGCCTGTTGCTGATGCCTTAAGGGCTTTAAAATCATCTCTAAATGATGTCCACCTGAGACATAATAGTCATTAACTTCCCCACACTTAAAATGTTTCTTAAAGAAAAAGCTTCCTTTCTTTTTTTTTTTTAAAGATTTATTTTTATTATTTTTTCATTGGAAAGGCGGATATACAGAGAGGAGAGACAGAGAGGAAGATCTTCCGTCCGATGATTCACTCCCCAAGTGAGCGCAACGGGCCGATACTATGCCGATCCGAAGCCAGGAGCCTCTTCCGGGTCTCCCACGCGGGTGCAGGGTCCCAAAGCTTTGGGCTGTCCTCGACTGCCTTCCCAGGCCACAGGCAGGGAGCTGGAAGGGAAGCGGGGCTGCCGGGATTAGAACCGGTGCCCATATGGGATCCCGGGCGTGCAAGGTGAGGACCTTTAACCACTTGCGCCACCGCGCCGGGCCCAAAAGCTTCCTTTCTTATCCCCAAGACATTCAACCTGCTTTTGGGTCAGCTGGCTAGTGGTAGGTCTGGGAGATGACCTGCTTTAGGAGTGCAGGCAGTCGTCATCTCTTGTCCGCACAGCCCTGAAAGGTAGGCCTTGTTCCCGCCATCTGCTAGGCTCAGACATGGGCATGACAGACAAGTTGCTGAATCCTGATTTCCGCTTCCCTTTTTGAGGAGGGGCTCAGCTTTGTCAGCACCGTTATTAGAGTCTGTGCAGATTCAGATGTATCGGGACCTTGCAGTAGTCCGTCCGCCTGGCATCATGGTAGAAAGCTGCATCAGCTTCTTGGCTGCCTTCCTGGTCTTGGTGTGATGTTGAGATGAAGGAACTGCCAGCACTACAGGAAAACCGAGATTAGGCCAAGTGTCTGGAAGCGTCCTTAATGGTTTGACCAGTGGTAAAGTGCAAATGTGAGTATTTGGGGGAATGACACTTGAGGGCTGCATAACGTGGAGGCTTCTCAGTCTGTTTTTGAAAATGGCCAGGTTCCAGCACGGTAGCCTAGTGGCTAAAGTACTTACCTTGCATTCACCAGGATCCCATATTAGCACCAGTTCTAATCCCGACTGCCCCACTTCCCATCCAGTTCCCTGCTTGTGGCCTGGGAAAGCAGTCGAGGACGGCCCAAAACCTTGGGACCCTGTGCCCACGTGGGAGACCTGGAAGAGGCTCCTGGCTCCTGGCTTTGGATTGGCTCAGCTTGGCCGTTGTGGCCACTTGGGTAGTGAATCATCGGATGGAAGATCTTTCCCTCTCTTTCTCCCCTCCCCTGTGTATATCTGACTTTCCAATAAAAAGAAAGAAATCTTTTTAAAAAAATAGTCAAAAAAGGTGTATTTGAAGAAAATGACCTCCTTGAGATTACCTTCTGCAGAAACTGAAGGTTTACTGTTTCAAAGCCGACATTTACCACCAGGAGCTCTGCTCACAAACATGAGAAAGTGATACGATTGGTCTTGTGCCTGGAAGAACTGAGTTTAGTCATAAGGAGGGCTTACAGAAATAGTTCTTTCTGTTATAGTAAAGTACAGGATGAACAGGGCCCTGTGGACCCTGGGAGCTTGTTGGGAGGTCCTAGCAGGGGAGCACAGCTACTCATAGGCCCTTGACCAAAGAGTGGTCCTCCTCTAGCAGGGTTGGCCGTCCTCGTCAACTGAGCACAAAGCTTCAGGAGGGACACACATGGAGTAGTGAGGGAGGAAGCGGACTCTGCCTAGCCAGCCAGATCACCCCCGCATATGCATATGGCACTGAGAAGAGGGAAAGGGACTTGATCCAACCTGGGGGGTTCAGTTAAGTTTATAGGGAAGGAGAGTGCAAAAACAGTGGGAAGGAAGGGCCGGTGGTGTGTACAGGGAACAGCAAACCATTTGGTGTCTATATTTGGAGCTTGATGAACTGGTGGAAGAAGAAAATTTCCCAGGCTCCAGGTTACATTGGATTGTAGCTGATTGGTACCCTATCAGGGCCTGTCTGGATTCAGTGGGAAAGAGCATACCCTCATTGTGGGCACTGTTTGAGGTAGGAAGAGCAGTTTGGAGACTAGCTTTGGAGAGATGGGAAAGAGGAATCTAGATACCTCTGGCCTGAGACTGGGTGGATGTTAGAAGTCGTAAACAAAAACTTGAATGCAAAGATGACGAGGTCACTTTTTAATCTGTGAGCTTTTATTTGCCCTTAGATGTTTACACAAAACACTTTGAAGGGTGAGTCAGAAACTGGGTGGTTGACTGAGAGATGCACTGAAGAAATACAGCTTATGGTAGAGATATGGGCCCCTCAGAGGAACAGGAGGAGAGAGATGAGTGCTGGTGAGAGATGAGGGACTCCCCAAGGGTGAGGGAGGTCACAGGCTGCAGTGGTGTAAGATCTCAGGGCTCTGCCTCAGGGCTTGGATTCCCAGGTGACCCTGGCCACCTGCAAGTATGCCTGGCATGCTGACTGGGCAGCAATGGTAGACAGGCAAGTCCCTGCCTTCTAAGCAGGTACTGTTATGCCAGGCCCTATTTGCAGTCAGGGAAGTGAGTTGTGAGCCAAGACATGAACCTTGAGAAGCAGCCAGCTATGGGAAGAACATGGCGACAGCAGCAGCCGGTGCTAGTGCAAAGCTGCAGAGGGAAAGAGCTTGACATATAATAAAGTGGTGAGCACTGGGAAGAGAGATGGACATGATCCAGAATGTTTGGGAACTTCAGGTCGTGGTGTAGTATTTGGATCTTGTTCGATGTAATGGGAAGCCACTGGAAGGTTATAAGCAGTTGACTGATGAGATTTGTAGGAAATAGGTTAGTGTGGTTTAGAAGGCTGATGGCTCTGTTGGAGCAGGGGCAGCACTTCCCTTTCTGTGCTGTTGAGCACTCGGTCCCTTGGGTGGCCTCTTGTAACCCTCCTTTACCACTGCCTGCATGTTAATCGTGCACTCTGGCTGCTTTGCTTCCTTTGAGCGTGTTTCCATGGATAACTCAGAATCTAAATGATATAGCGAGACAAGGACTTGGGTGTGGTTAAGTGGAAAAGAACCCTCTGAAGACACAAGTTGGCACCACGTGGATTAGAAAAGCCGGTGGCCTTTCTTTCCTGGCACCTGAGCTTATCCATTTTCCAGGAGTGGTACAGATTCCCTTTGGAGAGACCCTGCAGATGTTCTTTTAGGCTGAGTGATGTATTCACTTGTCCGTGTGTGTGTGTGTGTGTGTTTAGGATTTATTTTATTTGAAAGACAGATCAGTAGAGAGAGTAGAACAAATAAATCTTCAATCCACTGGTTTACTCCACAAGGGGACCCCACAGCGACTTGGACTGTATTTACTGATTTACTGATTTACTCCCCAAATAGCCCCCATACCCACACGGTTGGGCTGATCTTAAGCCAGAGCTTCTTCCAGGTCTCATGTGGTGCAGGGACCCAAGCAGTTGAGCTGCCTCCACACCTTCCCAGGCACACTAGCAGGAAGTTGAATTGGAAATGAAATAGCCAGGTCTCAACCTGGTCCCCATATGGGATGCTGGCACCACAAATAGAGGCCGAATCTACTAGGCCACAATGTCAGCCCTAAGTTGTTCACATTAACAAACTTTTTAAAGCCTGTACTGTTATGCCAGATCCTATGCTATAGAAAACTGAAAATTTAATACAATAAGCTAGCCTGTGATCCCCTTAAATTTGGTTCAACTTAAGAATGGGGAGGCAGGCACTGTGGCACAGAGGGTTAAGCCGAGATTCCCACATAGTACTTCCCAGTGCCTAGTTCCAGTCCTAGCTGCTCCACTTCTGATCCACGTTTCTGCTACTGCATCCTCGAGACAACAGGTGATGACTCATTTGCTTGGACCCTGGACACCTACATAGAGAACTTAATGGAATTCTTGGCTATATTTCTTCTATTTTATTTATATAAAGGTTTATTTATTTATCTTGGAAAGTCAAATTTACAGAAAGGAGAGACAAAGATCTTCTGCCCACTGGTTCACTCACCAAGTAGCCACAATTGCCAGAGCTGAGCCAATCTGAAGCCAGGAACCTGGAGCTTCTCCCAGGTCTCCTATGTGGATGCAGAACTCAAGAATTTGGGCCATCTTCCACTGCCATAATCAGGGAACTGGATTAAAAATGGAACAGCTGGGACTTGAACCAGTGCCTGTATGGGATTCTGGCACTGCAGGTGGAGGTTTAACACTACCATGCCACAGATCCAACCCCACAAATTTTTTTTTTTAATATTTGATATGTCGTTGGGATCTGACTTAAGAAATATGCTTAAATCTGCTTATAATGGGCCATGAATTAAAATCCCAGTTTTAAGAGTTAAATTTCTGTGGATTTTCAAGCAGGAATCCAGTTTAAGTTCTTTATAAAGTCAAGTGATTCCAATAGATGTGATTTCAAAATTTTAGTTTTTAGGAATATTTTTTTGAGAGGTGAGAGATAATGTATCTTATATCGCTGGTTCACTCCCCAGCTGCCACCCACAACAATCAGCAGTGGGCCAGGCTGAAGCCAGGAGCCGGGGTCTCTTTAGGGTGACAGGGTCCCAGATGCTTGAGCCATCATGAGCTGGATGGGAAGCAGAGATGGGAATTGGTCCCAGGCGCACTGATTTGGGATGCAGGTTCTCAAAGCAGCAGTTTAAGATGCTCGCTCTTTTTTTTTTTTTTAAAGATTTATTTTTATTATTTTTTTATTGGAAAGGCGGATATACAGAGAGGAGAGACAGAGAGGAAGATCTTCCATCTGATGATTCACTCCCCAAGTGAGCGCAAGGGGTAGATACTATGCCGATCCGAAGCCAGGAGCCTCTTCTGGGTCTCCCACGCGGGTGCAGGTTCCCAAAGCTTTGGGTTGTCCTCGACTGCTTTCCCAGGCCACAGGCAGGGAGCTGGAAGGGAAGCGGGGCTGCCGGGATTAGAACCGGCGCCCATATGGGATCCCGGGCGTGCAAGGCGAGGACCTTAACCACTTGCGCCACCACGCCGGGCCCTAAGATGCTCTTTCACAATACCTGTCTCAATTTTGAAACTTTTTCGATGGGCCCTTACAAGTCATGTGCTCTCAACAGGTCCTCATTTATGCAATAAGGAGACATAATGCCACAGAGGAAAAGAAAGGACATGCCCCAGGTCATAAGTAATCTGGCAGAGTGAGGGCTGGGTCCGTGGTCTCCCAGTCAAGAAATAATGGACACAGACCTGCATTCCCAGGAATCCTTCAGGCGCTCCCCTCCTGACTGTCCCCTCAGTGCTTGTTGCTCTCCTTTGTCTAGCTCTGCTTCTCCTTGAACCTTTCTAAGCTTTAGTAGTACCACCCTATGGGGGTCCTCCCATCCCACGGAAGAAATCACCCAACACTTGAGAGAGAGTCTCTGAGGCGCTTTATTCCGATCTTCCGTTCTGTTATGCTGGCGCCCCTCCCCCCCCAAGGCCCCCCCCCCCCCCCGCCGCTTATCTGTCAAACCTGTCCAATCAGCTTAAAGATAACCAAGGCAGACCAATCAGGGCAAAGGGCCAACCACAAGGCAGGAAATTGTCAGTGCCCCCAACACCACCCTTCCTTGGGCTCCCCTGCAGGGCTTAGTGCCCACACAGAGGTAGCTGTCAGAATGGATAGCCTAAGTAATCACACAGGTATTCCTGTTTTATTTCAGGCATGCCTCTGGCTCAGGCAGTAGCCATTCTTCAGAAGCACTGTCGCATCATCAAAAATGTCCAGGTTCTCTACAGTGAACAGGTGAGTGGTGGCTAAAGTTTCTTAAACTCAGTAATTGTCACCTCCAAAAGTGTTGTGACTATTCTCGATTATCTGGTGCTGCTGGGTTTGGAACAACAGTAACAATTGGACCAGTTTTGTCTGTCTTGACTTACCTACTGGCCCTTAGAAACTTCTGAAGTCACCTGGTCCTCTAGTGTGCTTGCCATCACTTGCCTCTTCTGCTTTGCTGGTTAGTTTGTGCTCAGGATTACTGTAGGGGCAGGCATTGTCTTGTGACATGGACCCAGCTTCTGACTGACCTTTCTGCTGCCATATCTGGGAAAGCAGCAGATGATGGGCACCTGGCTGGCCACACGGGAGACCCAGCAGGGGTTCCTGGCAGTTGGGTCCAGCACAAACTGGTGCAGACGTTTGGAGAGTGAACCAGAAGATCTCTTGAGGTTTTTCTGTCAACTCTACCTTTCAGATAAACAGATATTTTTAGGAAGGATTGTTGTGGTACAGATTGCTAGCTGGCAGAGCATACCAGACTGAAAAGTAGTGCATATAGCCTTGTCACTGGATGTCTCCCACTCGCAGTTGCTCGCTACTGAGCTGTGAAGCACAGTTTGTCTGTGACAGGCTGCTTGCCATGCAGAGCAACCCATATGTCACAAGCTTCAAGAGATCATGTTGAGCCTGCAGAGACTCAAGGATATCCTCGATGGATTTTCTGACTCACAGGGTAATGGTCTGATGGTTTCAGGACCACATGTTCCAATTAATTTCCAATCCTAAAGCAACTGATAGCTCATTTTTAACAAGAGTTTTGCACAAGATAGGTGGGTAACCTTTCTGTGACGCTTCCTGCTTTGGCCGAGAGTAGAATCAGAATCGGAATCGGACCTGTTACTTATACTCAGAACTTTCACTGGGCAGTCCTGTATGTTTTTGCCAGTATGGTGAGCCATTCTGTCAGGCATCTTTCTGAGAGGAGGGGTGCTCGCTCTCCAAGCAGGGGTGTAGGTATTTATGCAGGGTGCCTGCAATAGGACGGATTCACAGGTGTTCCCAAGGGGTTCTTTGAAACAGTACTAATGTGGTTTCTCATTTATAGTGAAGGGTAGATGGTTGATTTTTCACCTTGCTCTCAGTTCAACTGTAGCCTAATCCAGCTATCACTATTAGGCCATGGGGAAACTATCTCACATTTAAACACAAAAGAGGGAGACAAGCATAAGACACCTGCAACCCCTGTCAGAAAGCTTCAATTTTAGCGTCAGCTCTGTTTCTGATTCTCCTCCCTGCTAATGCGGACTCTGGGAGGCAGCACTGATGGCTCAAGTAGGTAAGTTCCAGCTATACATGTGGGAGGCCCAGGTTGAGTTGCTAGCTTCTGACTAGGCCTAGCCTGGTCTATTCAGTTGATGCATGGGGGCAGTGCAAAGGCAGATGAGAGTTCAACAGCTGGTTTTTGTCTCTTTATTCCTTTCAAGTAAATAATTTTTTTAAAAGACTTCTTTTTTTTTTTTTTTTATTGGAAAGTCAGATATACACAAAGGAGAGGCAGAGAGGAAGATCTTCTGTCTGATGATTCACTCCGCAAGTGAAGCCAGGAGCCTCTTCTGGGTCTCCCATGCAGGTGCAGGGTCCCAGTGCCTAGGGCTGTCCTCAATTGCTTTCCCAGGCCACAAGCAGGGAGCTGGATGGGAAGCAGTACCGCCAGGATTAGAACTGGTACCCATATAGGGTCCTGGCACGTGGAAGGCAAGAACTTTTAGTACCAGGCCCTCAAATCAGTATTTCCAATAAAAAAATGACTTTGCAATAAAAAGAAATATTAATTTGAGAATGATTTGATTTTGAAAATTGTGTAGTAATAGTATTTGAGAGAGTATAGGAAAACCAAGATCCTCCCTGCATTCTTCCTCCAAGCAAAAATCTGAAGGAACTAAAGTGTTGCCTTATCTTGTTTGCATCTGGAATGAGCCTGTCCAAAATAGAACTTTGTGTCTGGGTTGAGAGTAGGTAGCCCAGTGTGGAGGTTCACTGTTCTGTTACCTTGCTTGAGACCTCATGGCTTAGACACTCACACAGATGTACTGGAAAATTTTAACGTCTTTCTAGTTTTTACCAGTCATGTTCTTGCTACCTCTGGAAGGCCAGTGACGCAGAAGAGCAAACAGTCTGAGCTAATCTTCTAAAGCTCTTGGGAGCAAATTTCTTGGTGAGGCCTGTATTGGCAATAGCATCTGGCTTTAATGCCCAGGTTTCTGTCCTCCATCATCTACCTGTCTACCTCGAGAAGCTCCATAAAGAAACTAATGTAAATCCTCTGGGCACCTGTGTGCTACTTTTGAGAAGACCAGAAATGTGGATGCTTGGTGTTTTTTTCTTGTGCTACTGCACAGACTCGGTCAGCACTGAGGAGTCTTCAGTCATTGAATCCTTGAAATGTTGACTGACTGGACAGCTACCGAGGAGTGCTGTGTGCCAGCTGCTGTCCTGGTGCATTCTGACCTACTGTCTCTGTCCGCAAAACAGCTTGAAGGAAAGAGATGAAGGTGTGCCTGTGAGGAAACCAAAGCTGAGAGAAGTTTGTGAGAGTCCCCAGAGGTCACCAGGATTCTGTTCCCTGCTCTGTGCTGCTGCTCCCTTTTCCCCAGGATTCAGGAGAAAATGCAGAGCTGTGACCAGTTCTTAGGCGCGGTGATCGGGTCTTAGGTGCAGCTCTCTAGGAAGAGCATGTGTGATGTGGAGTGGTGGTAAGCGGGCAGAGAGAAGGAGAAAGAGTGCAGTCTCGTGTATGACCGTGTCAAGAAGTATTTTTGTTACAGAACTTAGCCTAAAGTGTTCAGAGTAAACTGTGTGCCATGCAGAGAACAAGGAGCTTGGTGAATGAGTGTGGCTTCAGCTGATGTGCAGAAGCCTTGTCTGCTGAGTCTAGGCCGTGGGCTTTTCACATATCCTGCATCCTCACTGACTGCTCTGCAGGTTTGATGGCAGCAGACTCAAGTCTGTGAACCCTGGAGCCCAAAAGACAGTGACCTATATGCTAATGGCGTTGTCCTTTTCACCCAGGCATTTAGACTGAAGCCTGGGAAAAAGAGGGTTTTTGCACCCACTGTCATAAAGCAGAAGTGCAGGCTGGAAGTACACTTCACATTTTTTTTTCTGGCTTCCAAACTTCATTAGCTTGGGGCGGTGGGGAGGGACTGCCCGCAATTAGGTATTCCCTGTGCATTGCATTTATACAGTAAGGCTTTTTAGTAGATGCTGGTGAAGAAATCAGTGGTTCAAAGTGTGTTTTATTTTTGTTTTGCAGTCTCCTTTAAGCCACGACCTCATTCTTAACCTGACTCAGGATGGGATCAAACTACTGTTTGATGCTTTCAATCAGAGACTTAAGGTAACTATAATAACAACTAATGTTTCATTTCCAGCTGAGCCAGTTTTTCTGGTTGGTACATGCTGTTGTGAAATGTTTCATAAACTTGTAAGTTGCTATGGCCATCCTTGGTTTAGAGACCATCACAGTGTAGGGACGAGGTTCTGCATGATTCTCTGATAGGTTGGGGTTATTTGAAAGGGGCTAGGACAGCAAGGTCCAAGTTGTGCCGACACCCTACATGAGCACTGCTCGGCATCCTGGCTGTTCCACTGCCAAGCTAGCTCCCTGGAGAAAGCAGTAAAAAATGGCCCAAGTACTTAGGTCCCTGCTGTGCACACGGGAGACCTGGATGACACTTCTGGCTCCTAACTTTGGTCTAGCTTGTCCCCAACCACGGAGGCCATTTGGGAAGTGATGTAGCACATACAAGGTCTTGGTTTTTCTCTGTAGCTGTTTCAAGTACATAAACCTTTTTTAAAAAATAAATTAAAAAAAAAAAAAAGGCTAGGAAAGGCTGCCATCTTACGCTCTGGAATAAGAGTGTTAAGATATGTTTAAGGGCCAGTGTTGCACTGTAGGCTAAGCCTCTGTCTGGGACACTGGCATTCCCATATGGGCACTGGTTCTAGTTCTGGATGTTGCATTTCCAATCCAGTTCTCTACGCATCTTACTTTAAAAAAAAATGTGGAACATGCTATGGAGAACGCGTTTTGGTTTTGAATAGGAAAATTAAGACTAGCTGAGTATCTGGCATAGGTTGCCCTTAAGCTGTATTTAAGTATTAAAAACATGGGACCTACCTACAGAATTAGACCAATCAACTATAAATCAAGTTTTTATATCTTGTTTCTTAAACTTCATTCTTGTGTCATCGTGGCTTGGGAGATAGGAAATGAAACTCCTTAGAAGGTTGGAGCTTGGACTTGATGCCACCAGCAACAAGTTGATCCTTTAACCTACTTGAGGAAATGTAAACAAGTATGCTGGGATTCATGGCTGCCTTAATTGGCATTCAGATGTAGTTTGCCTAACACCTGTTCAGTCCCGGATGTTTTGAATATAGTTACATGGGCCCTGGCATCCCAGGAAGGTCATGTGATGCCAAGCTCATGCCTCAGAGTCACAAGGCTGACTGTTGGACTCCAGGCAGTAGTGTAGTAGAGCCATTGTTTTGGTTAGGTTGGGTAGCCTTTCTGAAAAAAGAATCGAGTACTTCCCCATTCTCAGCAGCCTGTCACAAGAAGCTGAAGAGTGAAATAGCACAGGGGAAAATCGAGGGATGCCATGAGAACCTCCTGTCACCAGTGCGAAAGGGCACAGGATAAGCTTCAGTGTAACATCATAGATTAGGGGACCACTAACCTAATAACACAACTACCCTTCACAGATAGTTCTTGAGGGACGGGCTTGGTGAGCCAGGTCAGCCATTGTCTGGGATGCTTGTGTCAGAGTCCCTGGGTTCAAGTCCTGGCTCCATTTTCCATTCTTGTTTCCAAGCCAGTTCACACCCTGGAAGGGAGCAAATCAGGGCTCAATAGTAGGATCCTTGCCACCCACATGGGGGATCTGCATTGAGCTCCTGGCTTTGATCAGGGCCAGCCTGGGCTATTGCAGGCGTTTGGGGAGTAAGCCAGTCAATAGATCAGTACCTGTGTCTGTATGCTAGTCCTTTTGTTTTCCTTTCAAATAAATCAAAATAAGCCTAGTTTTAACATATATATGTACTTTTAAATTTCACTCTTTACAATTTAATTCGAAAGGCAGCTTTTTAAAAGTTTGTTTACTTTTATTGGAAAGTCATTTACAGAGAGGAGAAACAGAAAGACCTTCTCTCCGCTGGTTTGCTCCCCAAGTGACCACAATGGCAAGAGCTGAGCCGATCCTAAGCCAGAAACTTCTTCTGAGTCTCCCACATGGGTGCAGGGTCCCAAGGCATTGGACCATCCTCTGTTACTTTCCCAGGCCACAGGCAGGCAGCTGGATGGGAAGTGGAGCAGCTGGGACACAAACCGGTGCCTTATAGGATCCCAGCGCATGCAAGGTGAAGATTACCCACTAAGCCATCTCTCTGGGCCCAAAAGTGAGATTTACAGAAAAAGGAGAGACAGAGAGGTCTTCCTTCTGCTGGTTTATTCCCCAGATGGCCACATGGCCAGAGCTGAGCTGATCTGAAGCCAGGAGCTGAAACAGAAGTGGAGCAACCAGGACATGAACTAGTGCTGGTATGGGATGCTGGTGCTTACACACATAGGATTAGCTTGCTATGCAACTATAGTAGCCCCTTATCTATCCATATGTGTTTATTTTAACTGTTGACTGGTAGGTGACAATGACAAGGGGGAATGTTATGGAGGCCTGCCCCACAGGGTAGATGGCAGATTTATCTTTCTGGGCTCATTGGCTGATTGTCAGCTGTAGGGTTAGCAGCTGGGGAGGCAGAGTAGCTACGAGCAGAGCTCTGAAGATGGAAGCCCTCTGCAAGCACAAAGCCCTGGCCTCAGTGAAATGATGTGCCAGCTGGGCATTCAGAAGAGGATACTGTCTCCTCCTGTACCTGTGGGGGGTTTTTGTTTAGATTTATTTTTATTGCAAAGTCAGATACATAAGAGTGAGCAGGAGAGATAGAGGAAGATATTCCATCTGATGGTTCACTCCCCAAGCGGCGGCACCAGCTAGAGCTGAGCTGATCCAGAACCAGGAGCTCTTCCAGGTCTCCCACGCTCGTGCAGGGTCCCAAGGCTTTTGGGCCGTCCTCTACTGCTTTCCCAGGCCACAAGCAGGGAGCTGGATGGGAAGCAGAGCTGTCAGGATATGAACCAGTGCTCATATGAGATCCTGGCACATTCAAGGCAAAGACTCTAGCCATTGGGCCACCACGCTGTGCCCTCCTGTACCTATTTTTATGCTTGCAAGCTTCACATTGCCCTAACTAGCTTCACAGCAGGCAGATTTGCCTGATGTGCATGTAGCACCTTCCCTGTGCAAACCAGTGAGTCAGATGTACGAGTGAAATGTACAGCCAGGTGGGAAGGAAAGGGTTGGCTTGCTTAGGGGCTGTGCCAGCCCGGCAGATGGAGCAGGGCTTTCCAGAAAATAGGATTAAAACAGTTACAGAATAATCAGAATCCAACTTGATTCATTGTTATTATCTCTAAACAAAGTTAGACACAGGGTCTGAGACCCAAAAGTATCTTCTTAAATATTTAACATTTATGTGTAGTGAACACTTAAAAATCCTGCTTTCTGTTATATTTAAGATTTATTTATTTGAAATTGCTACAGAGAAAGAGATTTCCCATCCTCTAGTTTACTCCCCAAGTAGCTACATTGGCTGGGCTGGACCAGGCTGAAGCCAGGAGCCTGGAGCTCCATCCAGATCTCCCAAGTGTGTGACAGGGTTCCAAGGACTTTGCATTCTTCCACTGCTTTCCAGGCACATTTCCAGGGAGCTGGATCAGAAGTGGAGCAGGTGGTACTCAGATCAGCTCTCATATGGGATGCTGGCATCACAGGTGCTCTCCTAACCCACTACACCAGGCCCCTCTGTTCTGTTTCATAGAGAAATGTTCATATAGTACATTAATATCTGTAGACGTTCCTATTGTGCAGTGGAACCCCAACTTTTTTATCCCAATCTATAACTTAGTACCCATTAAATTAACCTTCCCCTTTTTCCTGCCAAGCCTCTGTTGACCTTTATAGTTTAACTTTCATATGATCATCTTTTTAGACACACAGTAAGGGACATCATGCAGTACTTATCTTTCTGTGCCTGGCTGATTTCACCTAACATAACAACCTCCAGTTACATCCATGTTATTGCAAATGACAAGATTTCTTCCTTTTCTGTGGCTAATATTCAGTTATGTAAATGCATCTTGGCATTTCATCTGAGGCTGAACCCAGTAAAAAGCAAACTTTGTGGCCAGCATTGTGGTACTGCGTGTGAAGCCACCTCCTGCACCGCCAGCATCCCATGTGAACTCTGGTTCAAGTCCTAGTTGCACCATTTTCAATCCAGCTCCCTGCTGTTGTGCCTGGTAAAGCAACACAAGATGACCCAAGTGTCGGGACAAGTAATCTTGGTGACATTTAAAAAACTGGGAAAGATATAGATGCGGATGAAATGAGAGAGTGAATGTTTTATTAAAAAAGAAAAAAAACTTCACAAGGGTCTTGAGGTTCATCAGATGGTTTCAACCATATGCTTCTTAGGGACATGACCAAACACACATGTAGCCTGAGCCAGTATTGTACCCTATTTTCTTGCAAGATAGAACTGTCCCTCCATATTTTTATTTTGTGAGGAAAATAAACTTTTATAAGCTGTTTTTAAAAGGAACTAGATTTGAGTTTTTATAATATATCAAAGTATGGAGTAGAAGGAATGGGCTCTGCATTCAGAGCCTTGGGGCTGCGTGCGTCTGTTTCTCTGGAAAATGTTGCTGCCCTGGGTGAGAGGGGTTGGGAGAGTGTCACCCAGTACAATTCAGCTGGGGACTGGCTACCCAGGCCTGATCCATGTGCAGTCCACTGGGAGAAATAAGGGTAGCAGAGTTGGAGAGTGTTTTTCCCATAAATGTACTATTTATACCATAAATATCTGTTCAGTTTTGTTTGTCATCAAACTAATTAACAACTCAAGCTTTTTTTTTTTAAGGTGATTGAAGTATATGACTTGACTAAAGTGAAGTTAAAATACTGGTGAGTCTTCTTTCCCACTGTCCACTTGATACAGAGAAGCCTTATCCACTGCCTTTGTTACATTAGCAAGGCTCCCACGTGCAGCAGCCCAGGAATTGCAGCCGTGCGTCCTGAGGCAACCTTCAAGCCTGCTCAGTTCCCTGGTGGAAGAGAAGTAAAACTTCATAAGGATCTGCTGTGTTAAATACTTCACATGTGTCTTTCTGATGTAACCCCAACAAAACAGGGCCTCAGTTCAAAGGCGGTGTGACAGACTGAGTCACATGCCATTCCTTACACAGCCTCTTCTAGCAACTTTTTTCCAAATATTTTTATGAGCAGCAAAGGTGGGTCAGATCACATGCCTGACTTCAAAGTCTGTCTATGCTAAAGAGAACAGCAAAGACCATCATGGTAGAGCTGAAGGCTGCCCTTTAGATGAAAATGGGGATGACCTGTACAATCCAGGAATTTGGGGCCCCTACTAATGTGAGGTAGTATGTTAATATCTAGAATAGTTTTTTGAGTTAGCCTCTCCTTTTGTAACAAAAGCGTGAAGAGGTTGGGATTCTGGGGCACCTTAGGCAGCTCTTGTTCACAGAAGGGTGGAGAAGCAAACGTGCAGTAGCTCCTGCAGACTCAAGTTTCTGGTCACTTTACTGTCTCAAGGTCTGGCTTTCTCCTCTCTGCCCTTTTGTTCATTGTCAGTAGTGTCTTTAGAAGTCCAGGAGAACTGATTCTGTCTCAGCTTCATAGTAACTGAGCTTATCCTCTTATTTCAAAGTTGTTTCATTAGGGGCTGGCATTTGGCATACCTGTAAGGCCATGACCAGCACACACTCATCCCATTCAGAATGCCTGGGTTTGGGTCTGCGCTCCACTCCCCTTTCCAGCTTCTTGGTTAATGTGCACCCCAGGAGGCAGCAGTTGCTGGTTGGCTTGGGTATTTGGATACTGCCACCCGCAAGGGAGACCCTGTTTGAGTGGTTGGTTTTTTATTGTTTTTTGTTTGTTTGCTTTTGAGCTCAACACCACAGTGTTTTATTTCCAGGGTGTGGGGACAGGGATAGGTGGGCTGTTCAGCCCTTCTTGGTGGCTACCTTGAGCATGGCGGCCAGCACACTGCTCAGCTCCTCACGTTTCCTCTTGGCACGGATGTGCGTGCCCACCCTCTTCTTGATGAACTTGAGTGCCCATTTGTCCTTGGAGACCTTGAGCAACTCCATAGTGCAACACTCAGGAGGTGAAGCCACACACTCCCAGATCATGCCCTACACAAACTTGGCGTGCTTGGTCAGCTGCCTGTGGTGCTAGCTGTGCCTCAGCTTGCTCATGTTCTTCATTACCTTGTGGCCTTTATTGAGGCCTGTGGCCATGGGATAACACACAGCATGGCTGCTGCTCTGCACCAGAGCCTGAGCAGGAGGGCCCTGGTGAGTTCTTAACTCTTGGCTTTAGCTTGACCCCAATCCAAGAAGTTACAGACTTTTGGGAAGTGAACCAGCAAATGAGAGACGTTTTTCTCTCTCTTCCTGTTTTGCAGTGGAGTACATTTCAATTCTCAAGCCATAGCTCCTACTATTGAACAGATTGACCAATCTTTTGGCGCAACCCATCCTGGAGGTAAGCCAAGTTCCTTTGTTTCCATTGGATACCAGTGGCAGCCAACTGCAATAAAATCAGCACCTCACCCTACTTCTGAAGGTGGACTCCTGTAGGATTTGGGGGTTGGTACTAGGGTGTGAAGGAAAGTTCTTTCTTGTACCTAGTAGTTCAACTTAGAATTGGGGCCCCACATGAGGTACTGCTGTTTGTCAGGTTGCTTTATGTCAGCGGTTTCAGAAACTCAACAGCTATACTGTTTTCTTCTCCCCACTCCACAGTGTACAACTCCGCTGAGCAGCTCTTTCACCTCAACTTCAGAGGACTGTCCTTCTCTTTTCAATTAGACTCCTGGACTGAGGCTCCCAAGTATGAGGTCAGCCCTTCCTATCCCTTGGTGTGGGACAGCAGGCAGTGCCATGAGGGAGGAGAAACTGGCTAGGCAGCCTTGTTTGGCTTCCTTGTCTTTGGGTTTTTAAGGGGCCTAAAGTGGTAGCGTAGGCTGGACAGGAAGAGCAAGACCCAATGGGCATCCCCAGGAAGAAGGTATTTCCTGCTTACTGGGCTCATTTTTTTAGGGGTAAACCCAGTTAGGTGTCATGTTAAAGCTCATACTCACTGTGGTTTTCTTAGTGGCTAAGAATTTGGAGATTTCGTTTGCTGTGTTTTCAGTTATGTGTAGCTTTTAGTAAACACTCCATTTGTCTCCAGGCAATAATATAGTTTTTAAAAGACTTACATGTTCTATTAAGAAATCATCTTTATATTATTTCCTGATGAAGAAAACAAGTAAAATTAAAGATGTTTGGGATGAGTTTATTGAACAACCCAGAGCCAAGTTTGACTGTGTGCTTTGACCTGACCAGTTTTCAAGGACCATGAGGTTGGAGGGGGACCAGACCCTAGTCGCATGGCCTGCAAGGTACTTCTTGTCTGTTTACAGCCCAATTTTGCCCATGGTCTAGCTTCCCTCCAAATACCCCATGGAGCAACTGTAAAGCGAATGTACATCTACAGTGGAAACAGCCTCCAGGACACCAAGTAAGTGTGAGGAGCACGCTGACGCCACGGGTTCCCTGGGAGGGAGGACCAAGCGTCTGCTCACTGGATGCTGTCTCCAGGGCTCCCGTGATGCCCCTGAGCTGTTTCCTGGGCAATGTCTATGCCGAAAGTGTAGATGTTCTTCGAGATGGAACTGGACCTTCAGGCTTACGACTTCGCCTACTTGCTGCAGGTCAGTTACTGACACTGAGGGGGGTAGATTCCCCATTTAACCATTTTGAGACATTCTAAAACTCTGTGCTTAGAGGAAGGTGTTAGTCCATTCAGACGTCTATAATAGAAGACCTTAAACTGTGGGGCTTATAAACAATAGAAATGTATCACAGCTATGGAGGGTGGAAAACCCCAGATGAAGACTTTGAGAGATTTAGTATCTGCTAAGGTTATTTAGGTCAGTTACAGAGAGAAGAAGAGACAGAGGCAGAGCTCTCTTCCATTTGCTGGTTCACTTGCCAAGTGACCACCACCAGCCAAGGCTGAACCAGGAGCTTCATCCAGGTCTCCCTGTGGGTGTAGGAGCCTAAGCATTTGGCCCATCTCCACTGCCTTTTCCAGACCATCAGCAGGAAACTGATGTGGACTGGAAATGTAGCAGCAGGAACATGGAATCTACGCCCATATGAGGTACCAGTGTAGCAGGCAGCAGCTTTACCCATTATGTTGGCTCCAAGGGCCTGCTTTTTTATTTTAAATGTAATGAAAGTTACAGAAAGGGAGATGGAGAGAGAGATCTTCCCTTGTGGTTCACCCCCCAAATGGCCACAATAGCTGGAGCCAGACTGCTCCAAAGCCAGGAGACAAGAGCTCCTTCTGGGTCTCCCATATTAGGTACAGTTGCCCAAGCACTTGGGCCATCCTCCTCTGCTTTCCCAGATGTATTAGCAGGGAGCTGGATTACCAGTGCCTATATGGGATGCCAGCACTGAAAGTGGCAACTTCACCCAATGCTATAGTGCCAGCACAGTGGGGCCCCTGAACATTGAATATTAGGAAAAAAAAAAAAAAAGGAAAAGAAAAAATCTATTGTAGAAGGTGCCTGCAGGGCCTGGCACAGTGTCTAAATCCTCATCTTGCATGTGCCAGGATCAAACTTGGGTACTGATTTGTGTCCCAAATGCTACATTTTCCCTTCCAGCACCCTGCTTGTGTCAGGAAATAATGGCCCAGGGTCTTGGGACCCTGCATCTGTGTCAGAGATCCAGAAGAAGCTCCTGGCTCCTGGCTTCAGATCCACTTAGCTCCAGCTATTGTGACCACTTGGGGAGTTAACCAGCGGAGAAAAGATCTTTCTCCCTGTGTCTCTGGCTGCTGCCTGCTATGCCGGCATCCCATATGGGAGGTGGTTTGGGTCCTGGCTGCTGCATGGGCAAGACAACTCTGCTGATGACTGAAGGCATTGTAGGATAGCCCAGGTTCTTGGTGCCCTGAACTCGCATAAGAGACCAAGAAGAAGCTCTTATCCCCTGGCTTTGGCTTGACCTCATCCTGGTCATTGCAGCCATTTGGGGAGTGAACCAGCAGGTGGAGGATCTTGTTTCTTCCTCCCTGAGTCTCCTTTTAAAACAAGTTAAAGGTACTGGTGGAGCAGCTGTCATTGGCCATGCCACATTTGAGTACTTGAATTTGATGCCCACCTCCAGCCTCCTGTTAGTGGCAGACCTTGAAATGCAACATTGTCTTCCTGTCCCATCTTTGAGACACCTGGATTAAATTCCTGGCTCCTGGCTATAGCTTAACCCAGTCTGGGCTATGGCAAGCATTATTTTAGAAAATTCTTTCCTTTTATTTGAAAGGTATATAATCGATCTCATCTACAGGTTCACTACTGAACTAGGCCAAAGCTAGAAGCCCAAAACACCATCCCAGTCTCCCATGTGGAAGGCTCGAGTACTTAGAGCCATCATCTGCTGTACATTAGCAGGAAGCTGGACAGAAGGGAAGTAGCCGGATCTCAAACTAGGCACTCCACTACAGGACATAGACATTCCAAGTAGCCACTATGCAAAACAACAACCACTAAATATTTTTTAAGACATTGGAGGAGCCAGCACAATGGCTCAACTAGTGTAGCCTTCACCTATAAGCCCCAGGATCCCATATGGGGAGTAGGTTCATGTCCTGGCTGCTCCACTTCCCATTCAGTTCCCTATTTATGGCTTGGGAAAGCAGTGGAGGATGGCCCAAGTCCTTAGACCCCTGTTCCCATTGGGAGAACTGTAAGAAGCTCCTGGCTTCAGATCAACTCAGCTCTGACCATCAGGGCTACCTGAGTAGTGAACCAGTGGGTGGAAGATTTTTTCCTGTCTCTCCTCTATAGTGTGCTTTTCCAGTTTAAATAAATAAGGCTGTGGCATAGGCCGGCACTGTGGGTTAAACTGCTTTCTGCAATACCAGCATTGCCGTATCTGTGCTGGTTTGTGTTTTCTCTGCTAACATGCGTGGAAAAGCCTAAGTGTTTGGGCCATGTAGGAAGTCAACCAGCAGATGAAGGAACTCTGGCCTTCAGTCTTCAAATGAGTAAATGAAGTCTTAAAAAAAAGTCTCCCCTCAACAGTAGCCTCCAGGTTAGAAATATCTTAAAATGTGGTCTTCTAATAAAGGCAAAACAAGAACTACTTGAAGGAGTGTTGTGAGATGCTTATTTAAGATTTATTATATTTATATGAAAGGCAAAAGACAGATCTTCCAATGCCTGGTTCATTCTCCTAAGTGGCAGTAAAGCCCAAGGTTGGACTAGACCAATGCCAGGAGCTTATTCCAGGTCTCCCAAATGGGCGCAGAGGTCCAAGCACTCGGGCTGTCCTTGCTGCTTTTCCAGGGACATTAGCAAGGACCTGGATAGGAAGTGAAGCCTCCAAGATTCAAACCGGCACCCATATAGGATGCCTGTGTGGCAGGCCATAGCACAGGCCGCAGGGGTGGTGCATTTCAAGTGTTTTTTTTAGTGAGAATTGAGATTTGGTAGCAAAATCAAACAGTTTTTGGTTTTCGGTTTTTAAATAGAAATGCAATAGGTTTTTTTTGATTTTGTGTGTGTGGTTTTTGCTTGGTTTTGTTTGTTTGTTTGTTGTTTTTAATGGAAAGGTAGATTTACAGAAAGAAGAGACGATCTTCCATCCACTGGTTCACTCCCCAGATGGCTGGTTATGAAGGTGTGTTAATCATCACAAGTGACAGCAAGGGAGCCTGTTGAGTTTGGGAGTCACAGCAGGTTCTGGCTGCCACCCTGTACCACACACTCCCAGGAGCTGCACATCACACCGCCCCCACTGTCCGTAGAGCAGCACTTACTGTGCAGATGGCGCCTCACAGGGTTATCCAATCTTACCTTGACTGAGGCTTTCCTTTGGCAGGCACCAGGGTCTCAGTGAACCCATTTCTTCCATAAGAAGTGTGCCTACAGTGATGCTTTTAACATGTCTTGGTTCCCAGGATGTTTTATCGAAGACACACTCTAGAAAACCACACTAAAGTTGTCTCCTAAAACAGAAGGTAGTCTCACCTGGGCAGGTTACAAGCCAAGTATCCTCTGCAGTCCCAGTGCCTGGGGCTCCGGGGTCCCCAGTCCTGACAGTCCATCCCTTCTTCTCCGCAGGTTGTGGCCCCGGCCTGTTAGCAGATGCCAAGATGCGGGTGTTTGAACGTTCAGTATATTTTGGCGATTCCTGCCAAGATGTTCTTAGCATGCTTGGCTCTCCACACAAAGTCTTCTATAAATCTGAAGACAAGGTAGGGGGATGTGTTTACAGAATGAACAGGCTGTAAATGTGAGACTACTATATCAACGTTTGCTGTGCTTCCCTTAAAACCTATTCTACTTAAAGTTGGTAATGAAGTAATGGAAAATTCGGCCTCTGCCCCTGCCTATTGTGCCTGCCTTTGCTGGACCAAGCCCCTCATCTGTGGCAGCTGATGCCTGCATTCTTGCTTGCAGCTGAAAGTTCTACAAAGAATTTGTCAAAACTGCATTAAGGAGTTGGACTTTAATTCAATATTAATTTTTCCCAACAGATGAAAATTCATTCTCCTTCCCCTCATAAGCAAGTTCCCTCTAAGTGCAATGACTACTTTTTTAACTACTTCACTCTTGGAGTGGTGAGTTGCAGTTTCATTTGCGCGGGGTGGGCAAGGGGTGTTAGCATACCTGTGTGCTCGTGTGTGGCAGCAGCCAGGCTTGGGCCACAGTGAACTGATGGCTTTGCCCCTTGACCTTTCCTGCCTCTGGAAGGCTGAGAAATACAGGCTCCCTGCTGTGTCATGACTTCTTTTCTGAGGGAAAACATGGAGACTCCAGAAAGCAGGTTATCATAGAGCACCAGAGTCTAGAAAAGACCCGGGGTATTTTTAGTGGCCCACTCCAGGGGCAGCACAGCGGACTTGGGGTGCCAGATGGAGCCAGGGGTCAGTATCACTGCTGCTGGGCAGCACACGTGGATGAGAAATGATTGGGGCAGCAGTGTACTAGCAAGAACTGTCGCAGGGCTGGCTGGAGTACAGGTCCTCTAAGCGCTGGGTCTTCTAGGTTCCAAGTTCCTGAGGCAGTGAGGGTTAGGTGACAGAGAGGGAGACCCGTGAGTAGCCAGGAGGGGTTGGTGAATGGCTGTGGGACATATACTCCTATGGGCAGCATGGTACTGCTGTAAGGGACCTGTGTGCCTGACCCAGTGACAGCTGATGACAGGCAAGATGGAGAGATGGAGGGACACAGCCCCAGTAACACTCATCTATTTACTAGGTCAGGGCAGAATCCTAGGTAACCCTGTACTTGCGGACCAGGACAGAACATGCAACTGCAAAGAGATAGAAGGGTGTCCAGTGGCCAATGCCGAGTCTAGAGCCAACCCTTTCTGAGAGATCAGGCTGGAGTTTCACTCCCACGGAGGGCTGGCAGGAAAGCTTTCACCTTTTACTTTCCAGGGAGTGTAGCCCCTGTGTCTGCCTGAACTAGCAATAGTTGGGTCCTCTGCCCACTGAAAATGTCCAGTTGGGGCTTCTTGGCCTGGGGTACTCTTGTGAATAAGACCTTGGAAAGAGCCCAGTCCTGCCTCAGGGACATTTCCAACTTAAGCACCTTGTTTTCTATCCCAGGACATCCTGTTTGATGCAAATACACACAAAGTGAAGAAATTTGTCCTACATACCAATTACCCTGGACACTATAACTTCAACATGTAAGTAGTGTCTTAGGAAGAAGCCTTGGGCTGAAAAACCCCAGGAAAGCGCAATTTATTTGCCCTGAATTCCTGCATTCCCAGGGGCTGGGTTGGGAAGCAGCAGTGCCCAGGCTTCCCAGGAAGTCTTGCCCTTACCTCTTTGCCTTTTCTGTAGCTATCACCGCTGTGAGTTCAAGATCCCACTGGCCATAAAGAAAGGTGAGCAGTGAGTGCCCTGGGGGTAAGGAGGGTGCTTGTGACTCAGTTTCCCACTCCTACCCCGAATCCCCAGGGGAGAGCCTCTGCCTACCTGCTTCCGTAGCCGCCACCTCATCTGCAGACTGCTCCGTTCTTGGAGGCCCCAGAGGGCCTTTCCTGGGGTTGCGGCACTGCTGTCCTCAGGAGGTGGAGGAGCATTTCCTGGGATAACCCTCCAGTGCTCACCACCCATGCTGAGTGCCCTCTATTCCCTGCCAACTCATGTGGCCCACACGGGCTGACCGCTCTGCACCCCCGAGCTCCAGCTGGCCTTCGTTGCTCCTTATGCACTGCAGCCTGTGCGACGGTCAGACCTAGGGCTGGGCCAGTCACCAACTCACCCTGTGTGCTTTTTTTTTTTTTTTTTCAGAAAATGCAGACGATCAGACAGAAACGTGCACAACCTATAGCAAGGTGAGAGCCTATTTTCTTGACAGAGCCTGAGAATGTGGCGGGCATGAACCTGCAGACAGTACGAGGCCGTGTTGTCTGGGTCATCACCAGCTAACCCCTATGCTCTGTCTCACAGTGGGACAACATCCAGGAGCTCCTGGGTCACCCTGTGGAAAAGCCTGTTGTCCTGCACAGGTGAGTGCCAAGCTGTGGTTACACTCTGTCCCATCCCTCCCATCCCAGAGAGCTCAGGAAAGCCTGGCAGTGGTACTGCATGGATGTTACAGAAGCTTCTAGTATTGCAACAAGCATACTTCCTGCCCAGCCTGAGAGCCAGCTATTCTGTGTGTTTGTGGCAAAGAAATGGCCACATGAGACAGTTCCTGTCACCTGATCTCCAGGTATAGGGGCCCCCTAGTTAAAAAGAGAGGTTACCACCTTGCTGGCTGCCGAGGCTCTCATCAAAGCCCCACCTGCTGTGGCCTTCCTGACTTCTCACACTCTAGTTCCACGGTAATTCTGTGCCCCGTCAGGCTCCGTACAGTTCTGAATGAAGCCATCCTTACCTTAGCAGCGCCCTCTGTGGGAGACATATACCCACCGCTATGAGCAACCACTGGCCTGCAACCCACATCCCAAAAGGAACTGGTTTCCCTCCCTGCTTGACCTTGCCCTCAATCTGCCCCTGTAACTCTGGCTTCTCACCTCAGGTCCTCCTCTCCGAACAACACCAACCCATTTGGCTCCACATTCTGCTTCGGCCTTCAGCGTATGATCTTTGAGGTAAGTCCTGGAGGCCTAGATATTAACTGCTAAAAGGTGAGGGGATTTGTGGTCCTCACAGGGGCAGGCCAGCAACTGAGGGCAGATGAATCTTTCCCCAGCAGGCACTGGCTGTTTGAGTATGGGGCCTCCCCTGTGTCCAGCAAGGGGGAACCACAGGACAAGTGAGACCCAGCACTGTCAGGTTGGGGGGGATTTACTATGGCCAGGCATCTCGGGAGATCCCAAACTTGGGGGAAAAGTGGGTGGCCCATTTTCTCTCTGGATGCTATGCCTTCAGCAGGCCCTTAACAGTCCCAGAAGGACTGGCCTGTAGTGAAGGAACAAGTGAGTTCCTGGGCAGAGCAGCCCCCAGGTGTTAGTGGGCCAGGAAGCCCAGCCTCTGTGTGTAGGTGGACTGATCCCACCGCCTCTAAGCCCCGTGCCTGCATCCCCTCACTGTGCCTCTGACCCACTGCCCATTCTCATACCACCAGGTCATGCAGAACAACCACATTGCCTCAGTGACTCTGTACGGCCCCCCTAGGCCCGGTGCCCACCTGAGGACAGCTGAGCTCCCCTAAGGACATCACCCCTTGCCTCTCTGCCCTGTGGAAGGGCGCAGCGCTTCCTGCTCAACAGGCCTCTGTGCCACACCATGGGCTTCCTCAGACGCTTTGCCAGCTGCTGTGCCATTCGGAGGGGGCTCGGGCTAGGTGTGCCGCATAGGATGAGGATTCCAGATGCGCCTCGGTCTGTCTTCAGCCTGCTGGTGCCAGCAGGGGACCCCAACTGCAAAGAGCAGCACAGACTGAGCTTCGATTCCTGCCCTGGGAGCTCCTGACTAGCACGCCAGGAGGCAGGATGTGTCCACACCTGCCCCACCCACGTTGGGGAAACTCGGGGCTCTTTCTATAGCTGAGGACACAGGGGCCCAGCATGAGGACAGGGTCCTGCCTCTGGCCCCACGTTGCCATATGACTGTAAAAGCAGGCAGGTAGTGCGTGTCCATTGTCCTTGGTTGCCACATTTGCACTACATCCACTTTCATTACTTGATGAGCTGACTTTGGCCAGGTGGCCCACTGCCCTTTTCCTTTCTTGCACGCTCTCCCTGCCAGGCTCAGTAGGCGCAGCCAGCTGGTTGAAGTACAGCTTTCTGCCACTGAGGCCTGTGCCCAGGCCTGGCCCCCACGCCTTGGAGCCAACTTTCAAGGCCCCTATTCCTCCGCTCCGCCCCAGCCCGGCTGCAGGGCTGTGCATCTCCATCCTGCTTGCCTCTTTTCTTTCATGCCAAAGTTTTAGCCAAAGACATCTTCCTTGTGTTGTTGCAGCATCTGTACCGCCCTGTGGGCCGACTCCCTGCCCCAGTCGTGGGCACTGTCCCCTCATCATGGGTCTTGCTGATGGAAAGTAGCATAGTGCTTTAAGAATATTAACCTTTTGAAAAGAAATAAGAAATGTATAATTTTATCCCATTTTTAATATTTTGGTCTAGCAACTTGTGATACATAGATGAATTTTGTGAGTTTTTCAAATGTGTGTACAGATTTTTGTAAATATGACTTTTGTAATTAACTCATGTACAGCTTCATCCTGTATAGTTCAGTGAAGGTGCAGGGGACCTGCCCCAGGCACCTGTCCGGTTCCTTGGCCCACAGCCAGCTCACGTGGCGCTCCTGTGACTGGTGTCTCCCCACATGGACTGTGGCCAGGACCATCCCCATCCTTCTGAAAAAGGGGGAGCCTTCCTCACTCCTGCCCGCAGTCCCTCTCCAATAAAGCACTTGAGCCCTCAGCAGCGGCCTGCCGCATGCTGTTGCTGTGTTTGTACTAAAATAAGTGGGGTGTTGGGCTTTCTGAGAATGGGGGTGGCTGAGCAAAATGGGGACATTCATGCAGGGGGAAGAGGGAGGTTCCCTGGGACAGGTGACAGCTTCTTGTAAGAGGCCAGGGTACAGGGGGTGTGGGTAGAAGGGGAAGGCGAACTAAGCAACCATTCAGCTATCCCTGTGACTCCAGACCTTAGCCCTAGGAGCGCAGGCCTGAAAGACCTAGTTGGGGCTGGGGACATCCATACGGAGGGGCAGGACACCTGCTGGGTCACCTCACTGTCCTATGGGGACTAGTCTCGGGGGAAGGAGACCTGTGGGCCAAGCCAAAGACTGCACAGGACTCCAGAAGCCCCTGCCATTCCTGCCAGAAACTCCACGGCTGTGGGACCTGTAGGCACAAGATGGACTGCCACCACCTCTGCCCTGGTGACATCAGCAAGTCAACATCAAACCACTTCTAGACCTATGCCTTAGCCTAATCTGAAGTCCATTCTGTGGGGCCCACAGAGACAGACGGCCACCTATGAAGGAAGCACAAAAATCATCCTCACAGGGAATCCCTCCCCACGCCATTCTGGGTCTGAGAGGGCCTGATGCCGTGACCTGTAGTTAAGTGTCTCCCCATTGGAATGGGCCCGAAGCAGCAGGCTGTGGATGCGCACAGGCGGGCCCAGGCGGCCCCTGCAGCAGGTGCCACATGAGCCAGATGTCAGCAGCCGAGAGCCCGTGCACCACAACCAGCTCCCGGTAAAAGCAGGGATCGAAGGTGCGGAGATGGGGCGCCGCCGACGGTGGGGGGATGCCGAAGGTGCGGAAAGCCGGGTGAGGCTCTGGGGTGAGCCGGAGGCGCTGCAGACACATGCCCAGGAAGACATCATCAATGGGGAACAGCTCGACCTGCGCACAGGCGCCAGCCAGACGACGCAAAGTGGCCCCGGAAAGCACAAAGCCACCACCACCTGCGTAGGCCGGATAAGCGGCCAGGCCGTACACAGCCTCGGGGATGTAGTACTTGCTGGCCCGCGCGCGGATGGGTCGTGCCTGCACAATCACGTCCCCCGCCAGCAGGTCCTGCTGAGGATCCCGCGTGGCCAGGAACTCCAGCAGGTTCCCCACGTGTACAAACACATCGGCATCACCCTTGAAAACAAAGCGCACGTCGGGGCAGAAAGCTGAGGCCCAAGACAGAAAGTGGATCTCCTTGAGCGTTAGATTGAAAAACGTGTCGTCAAAGGCCCACAGCAGGATGTCCGCAAACGCCCGGCTCTCGGCGCGGAGCAGGGCGTGCCAGTGCGTCTGCGTGCCGGTCCCCTCGGTGCCCCTGGGCACGCCCAGCAAGAACACGCGGCGCACGAGCGCCCCCCGCACGCTGCCCTCCGAGCCCCAGGTCTGGCGCACGGCCTGGCGCCGCTCGAAGTCAGCTGCCACGGACTTGACGGCGATGAGCAGGTCGGGTGGGCGCCCGGGAGCGCCCTCTCCCCGGCACTTGTGCGGCTGGTTGATGAGCAGCGGAAAGCGCCGCTGGTCCTTGGCACGCAAGTAGCGGCCAAAATCAAAAGGTCCTGTGGGCGTGGGTGGTGCCGGCGTGTCCCCCTCGTAAGCCGGAGGGACTGCCTCTGTGTCCCGCACCTGGAAGGCACGGGGCCCCGGGGTTATCCTCCCTCTTGCCTGCGGGGCGCTTGTCCCGGCCGTGGGGGCCGTGCCGTCACGCTGAGCGTAGAGCAGGAGGCCGAGCGCGGCGCCGAGGAGCAGTGTGAGCGACGCGTCCCGGGGGAGGCGCAGCCTCCTCCTCATGTCCGCACGGCCACCCGCCCGCCCTCGGCAGAGTCCAAGGTCACGGTCTACAGCGCCAGCTGGAGGGTCACGTGGCACGGCCCCCAGCCCCGCCCTCCAAGAGCTGGAGAGGAGAGGGCGGGAGGCCACGCCCGGGGGTCTCCAGCTACCAGCCGTTCATTCCACAAACTCGGGTGAAGTCCTCCCAGCTCTGAGGACCCGCACCGGGATGGGCAGCCTGAAGGGACAAGAAGTTTCTCCTTGTGGCCAACTCCCACCAGCGCAGCCCCGGCCCTGGACGGGGGTCCCAAGGCCGGGCATAGAAACTTAGGGCTTGTGAAACTGAAAACCCCTTCTACCTTCTCAACGCCCCCTCCCCCAGACGGTTCCTGGGATCTCAACACTCACGCTCGGCCCCCCGGGGCCTCCGGGGCGCAGCGCAGGGTCCCAAGAGCGGCCATGCACAGGGGCCTGAGCCAAATGCAGCGTTGGCAGGAAGGGGGGGCCGGAGCCACGTGATCCTCCAGCTGTGTGCACCAGGACATCTGCCGCTCAGCCCCGCCCCGGCGCCGTATCCAAGGGGAAGGGGGGACGAGAGGGAGGCTGGCGTCGCTGCCCCGCTGGCTGGGCACCCCGCCCTGCTCTCCGGAGGGGCTGGCACATGGGCTAATCCTGAGCTACCAAGCTGCTAGCTCCCAAATCCCCGGGGAGAGTCGCCGATCCGAGCCATCAGCCCGGCCTGGATGCCTCTCCTCCCCTTGGAGGGCCCACCTGGCTCCTGGCACTTTCCCGGGAGACCACAGGGACACAGGAGTTGACCCATCCTCACGGCAAGGCTGCGCCCACATGCAGACAGTGCTGCCCAGGGAAGTTCTTCAGTTCACCCAGGACCACCCGAGGATGAGTAAAGCACTGCCCCGTGCCAGCTAAAAATGAATGCCAGGTGCTCTGCCCTCCCTTCCTTGCCTCCTCTTCTCTCCACTGGAGACTGGACTGCAGCAACTTCCCAGGCAAGCTCTTGAGCCTGCCTCCCCAGGAACTAACAGCTAGCTCAGGCCTGCCAAGGTGTGTCATCCCCCTATCCCACGACGCCCCTCCACCTCCTGCAGGTGGAAATAAATGCGCCTGCACACTCTGGGCCAGACTGGACTGGGAGGAGCGGCAGGGCATGGCCAGGCTGCCCAAGTGGACCAAGGAGCAGGTGTTTTAGTCAAGGTCTCAGGTGGGCAGAGGGTGGGGGCACCCTAGAGACACACAGCCACGTCTGAACCTAGCTCTTGCCAGCTCATCCTGGAACGTTGGGGCCCGTGGGCCAGAACCCAGAACTGACCCCAGCACCAACATCCTGCCTCTGAGAACGGGCGGCCTGGACCAGCGGGGCTGCTCCCAGGCACCACCCTCCAGTGACAACTTTTCACCCAAATTCTCTCTTGAAAAGCAAATTCCCTCCAGAGCCTGGCAGCTCCCACTGTCATCCCACCCCAGCCCGACAACTCGGGCTTCACACTGCCCCCACCTGGCAACCTCTTGGTAATGCAGCAGAAGCCCCTCAGGCTGCCTGTCTGGGAAAAGCAGAGGAAGATGGCCCAAGCTTGGGCCCCCGGTACCCAAATGGGAGACGTGGGTGAAGCTCCTGGCTTTGGCCTCACTCAGCCTTCACTGGAGAGTAAACCAATAAATGGAAGATCTTTCCCCACATCTCTCTATAATTCTTTCAAAAAATTTTTTTAATTTCCTAGTTTTCCTCCTCCTCTGGGCTGGTCCCTTTCTAAAAGTAAGTATTTAAGGGGTCAGTGCAGTGGCTCAATCTTCTACCTGCAAGTGCCAGCACCCCATTTGGATCCAGGTTCATGTCCTGGCTGCTCCACTTCCCATCCAGCTCCCTGCTTGTGGCCTGGGAAAGCAGCAAAGGATGGCCCAAGTCGTGGGGCCCCTGCACCCATCTAGGAGACCTGGAAGAAGCTCTCGGCTCCTGCTCAGCTCAACTCCAGCCATTGCAACTATGTAAGGAGTGAATCAGCAGATGAGATATGCCTGTCTCTCCTCTCTGTAATCTGCCTCCCTAATAATTAAAAAAAAATAGAAATGCATATTTAAGAGGTAAAAAAGAAACAGAAATCTCCCTCTGCCATCCACTGGTTCATTCCCCAAATGCCCACAACAGGCTGAAACTAGAAACCTGGTGCTCAATTTGATTCTCCCACCTGGTAGCCAGTACACCCAACTACCTCAGCTCCCCTCGGCCACCTGGGATTGTGGCACAGTGGGTTTAGCCACCATCTGCTACACCAGCATCTCCCATGAGCACCGGTGTGAATTCCAGCTACTCCACTTCCAACCCAGCTCCCTGCTAATGTGCCTGGGAAAGCAGCAGAGGATGGCTCAACTGCTTGGGCCCCTGCACCCATGTGGGAGACCCAGATGGAATTCTAGACTCCTGGTTTCCACCTGGCCCAGTTCAGACTATCATGGCCAATTTGGGAGTGAATCAATGGGTGAAGATCTTGCTCTTCTTCTCTGTCATTTTGCCTTTCAAATATAAATGTCTTTACAAAATGAAGAAGAAACTAGAATTAGGAGCTGGGACTCAAGGCCAGGAATTGGGGGGCAGGGGCATCCTAACTGCTAAGCCATGACTGGTCCTTTTCCAGACAGGATCCCGTGGGCCACCCACCCACACGCCCCGGGGCTCCAGTCTCTAACCGTGACCCCCTGCACTCAGCCCTCACACTCCTGTAGGAACATCACACTCCAAGCCAGCACTGCCCCCGCCACCAGCAAGCAGGGGCAGAGTTCAAGTCCTCGCGCTCCTCATGGCTCCTCCAGGACAAGCAGGCCTACTCCTCTTCCTCCACCCCTGCCACCATTGCCCCCACTGTCCTGCATCCAGGTCTTAACTCCACCCCCCACCACGACCAGAGGCTTCCCAATGGCCTCACAAATTGAAACTCCATAAAAGGGCTTATCACACACCAAGCCAGCCACCTGTCCCAAAGAGCTCTCAGCAAGGACACCCACCCCTGCTCCCATCATTGCTCCCTCCTCACCTCCCCCAAGACCCAGCCTGAGACACCTGTGCCCAGTACCACCACCACCCTGTTACTCCTCCACCCATCTTGCAAGGGTCAAGCTGCCTCCTGGGGGTTCCCAGAAGCCCTTGGGTTGTTCACATCAGAAAGGGGAAGAGTTACACTTTATTACCATCACTTAACAATCAGAGTCCCACACAAAGCGCGGGCTGCCTACTCCTTGTTTGCCATGGTAACTGCAACACCAGTAACTGTTCTCAGAGGAAAACCACTCCTTGGGGTGGGGGGGGGGGTGAGTCAAGCAGCACAGCCCTCCCCACAGTTATCTATCATGGTGGCAGGTAGCTGGGCTGGAGTTCCAGTGAGCTGGGCTCCTGGCAACAGCAGTCAGTCCTGGCTCGGCTGGCAGGAAGACACAGTATGATTTCAGGAGCCAGTGGCCAGACTGCGGGGCAATGGCAGCAGCAGAAGGGACTTGAGCATCATCCAGCCGGGCTCCACAATGGGCCAAGCACCTGGCAAACCAAGGCATCCTCCTGGGTAGGCCTGGGCCTAGGCCAGGCCGCCCTGGGGCTCCGCCAGTCCCAGCAAGTCCTCGGCCAGGCTGGTGAGCTCATTTTCCTCGAGCGCCTCCACTAGGCGCTGCAGCGTGGCGCGGCGGCCCTCGGCCTGCACAAAGCGCCGCAACAGCTGGAAGGCCTGCTCATACAACCCCTCACGCTCGTACTCGTAGGCCAGGGAGTCCAGCGCCGGGTCCCGCAGCGCCCGGCAGCTGCGCTGCAGCGAGCGCCCCACCTTGCGCCATTTGAGGCCCACGGAACGGGCGAACGTCTGCTGGTCCTGCAGGCTCAGCGGCCGGTTCACTGCGGAGAGCGAGCGTGGGGAAAGCCGAGTGAGTGCGGAGACCCTGGGGCTGGCACCCCTTTCCCAACAGCACCCATCCCTTGCCAATCTCCAAGGAGCGAGCCTGGAGATACTGCCTCTGTGCGTGTGCCTCACCTATGGGCAGCCCCTGGAAGAGAAAAGTCTGGACAGGTGGCGGCAGCAGCGGCAGCTTCTCTTCCGATGGAGAAGTGATCAGAGGCTGCGAGGGAGCCAGCCCAAGCTTCACATCACCCGCTTGACCCTCCGAGCCGCATGTCAGATTCCGGACCGCATCCTCCAGCTCCACTAGCTCCTCATCCGGGAGCCGGTCGGGCTAGAGGAGGGAGTGCGCCATCAGAGTTGGTGGCCTGGGGACAGAGCCCCTCATCCTCGCACCCCCCGCTGGCCTGACTCCGGCCCAGTCGCACCTTCTGAGCCAAGATACAGCTCAAACAGCGCTCTTCGTCTGTCAGCCACGCGTCCAGCACCTCGGCGCCTGCACGCAGCTCCAGCTGCAGGTGCAGGGAGGGTTGGGCCAGCGCTGCAGCCAGGCTCTTCTGCAGAGCGGCGCGCAGCGCCCCCTCGCGGTAGGCGCGCAGGAAGCTGCCGCACGGTTGGCGCCCGCAGAACCGCAGCTGCGCGATCAGCTGCGGGTCGCTGCGGTGGATCTTGAGCACTTGCAGCACTTCTGGGCTCCCGCCGCTCTCTGCGGGAGGCGGGCAGTAAGGCACTGGGTGGAGGGGAGGAGCCCCGGTGCGAGAGAGGGAACAGCTGGGATGCAGCAGGTACCCCCAGAGTACCCAGATGGGAACCACAACCAAGATGCACACAGCAACAACCAAGACCTATGACAGAGGGCACGCCAGGGCAGAGCAGGTGTCATGGAGCCCCCAGAAGGGAGGCACGGGGCCACACGGACAAGATCGCTGCCCGTTGTTACGGGATGGGGAACCAGCTTGAGCTCTTCAGCCTCCACCCACGGACCAGAAGAGGAGCTCGTGGCCCCATGGCCAGGGTCAGATCCCCCAACCAACCTCAGCCTCCTCTGGCCTCTGCTTTGAGGAGGGAAAGGGGGCCTTGACATGGTAGGTACTTGGGAGGGGTCTTGGGCAAGAAGCCCTGCAGTGAGAGGAAAAAGAGGGGAGAAAGAGGCATGATTAGCACAAAGGAGTGTGGGCAGACATCAAGCAGGAGGATGTTAGTGCAGACAAACGGCGCACACTTAGGCCTTCACTCGGGACACACAGGCCAGAAACGCGACAGAGCCTGGGCGGCAGCTAGCCAGACCCCCGCCCCACCCCATCACCCAAACAGTTCCCTAAACAGGACGAGGCCAAGTCCACCAGGGGGAGGCAGGCGGGCCTCCCTCTACCTCTCTGGGGCCTGTATATCCACGCACCTGCCAAGGCAGTTCTCAGAGCCCTGTACAGCGTCACCTTGCACTGGGGCTGGGCGTAGACATCCGACAGCACCACTTTGTCCAGCGAAGACTCCACAAACAGGTAGGCACTGCCCACCCAATCCTCAGGCCCATCTGGCCCGGCTGCCATCTCGCCTCCTGGAGAGGCAGACAGGAGTCCCGGTCACCTCCAGCCCTGCTCTCCTATCCCACATGGTCCAGCTTGCCCCTGCACGGCAGCCCTCCTCACCATACAGAGGCAGCCAGGGCTTTTGAGGCGACAAGTTCACCATCTCCCAGGCTTAGCACAGAGTCCCGTACACCCAGCCCTATAACAGGGACCATCGCTACAGTGCCATTGCAGACAAACAAAGCACCTGGGGCCCCAATGGACCAAGACAAAGCTGCTCTCACGCCACAGATCACTGTGGCTTTTACCACAATGGACAAGAGGCCACAATGGACAGCAAGCCAAAGCCACAGCTGGCCCCCAGTTCACACTGCATCTCCGAGTGGCACTCCCAAGGGCACTGCTTCCCAACACTCTTCCTTGCCTTCCCTCCCCCCCTCACTGAGCACAGGATGGACCAATTAGAATCCACCACTAATTTCTTCCACCTGCCTTGGGGCAAAACTAGAGAGAAGAGGTGGGTTTCCTTTGCCACAAGGGAGAGAATCCTTGCAGAGAATGAAACTGACCCAGAAGGAAGTGGAGCCAGCCACTTCCCTGCCACTCCACACCCCTGCTCCTTGGACTTGGCAGTCATGTGACCTAAATCATCCCTTTGACATAAAGCTCTTGTGTTATCAACGCAACCTGTCCTATCCTTACAGCTCCATAATGTCCCATCCATATTCTGTCACAAGCCTAGCCCTGCGTGGGAGATGAGAGAGGCAAAAAGCCCAGCCGGCCTTCAGCTCCACACCCCCAACCCATGACTGTCCCATCTCTTCCTCTTCATTTCTGAGACACACTAGCAGACACCCCTTCCCCAATCGCTCCTTTGCACACATAGGGTTACACACAGTGGGCCAAGAGAGGTCCTCGGCTCCGGCTTGGACAGACGGCGTAGCCCCACCTGGCAGCTTTTACACTGGGAACAGGGAGCCTGAGCTGGGGTGCTAAGAAGACCCAAAGACCCCTGGCCGGGGACATTCAGAGCAGAGTCTGAATCTCAGATCTACCCCCCCTCCCCATCCTATTGTGAGTACCAAACCCGGGATGGTCACTCCAAGACCCCTACTGACCCTGGCCTCACCCAGATTCTGGTCAGAACGTGGAGCTCAACCCTGGGTCTAAGCCTAGGGGAACCTCACCTCTCTTGTAAAAACACATGAACACCTTCTCTATTTACCGAAAAATAACCGTCCAAAAATTATCAGGAAGTTATCAGTGTGTTTCTCTAAGCAGGACTGGAGATGGATGGGAGGCAGGGGCGGAGGGTCAGAACCGGGGAAGAGGGTGTGCTGTCCCACCGCACCAGCACTGCACAGGGGCTGAAGGTCGTGACCCTGACTTCTCCCCATCCCCTTGGGAACCCCCTCCTCCACGTCCTTCCACAAAAAGGCCCGGGTCGGGAAGCCCCGCTCCCCACCCACGCGGAGTCCGCCCCCCTTCGGGGCGGGGCTGACAACGTTCCTAGCTGGGTAGGCAGAAGGACCGCTTGGTGGGCAGGTGGGAGGATGGGACCCTGTGGACATCTCCCTCACTCCCTGCAATGCACTCATCACCAAGAGCTCCCGCTAGCACCTGGCAGGCCCCAAGCAGCTGCACCTGCTGCAGCGCGTGTCCGCGTGTCCGCAACGACCTGCGGAATAACCCACCTGGCAGCCTCCCGATCGCCGCCAGGTGCGCACGTCCGTCCACCCCTTGCAACTCGCCTCCCGAGCGCCCTAGGCCCCGCTCCGGCTCCCCTTCCAGCTGACGTTCACCCCACACCCTGACCCCGGCACCCCGCAAGGGGTCTCAGCACACAGAACTGCTCTGAACCAAGCATACCCTCGCGCAACCAGCGCGCCCACCCCTCCAAAACCCTCAACTGGGACAAGAACAAAGTCCGGGGAGGTACAGTTCCGCACCCTTCCCCACCGCCCACGGACACTGCTGCCCAGCCAGCCCCGAGGCAGGGGCAGGAAGTGTGGCCAGGGTTCCCCCTTCTGAGCCCGAGCGAGCCCACCCTGCCTCCGCACTCACCCGGCCGCCACGGCGGGGCCCGACTTGCCGCGCCCGCCAGGTTCCGCAACGCTCGGCTCCACACGCGCGGCTTCCGGGTGTGCGCCGAGGCGCCGGGGCGGTGCCACCGGCCGGGCCGCCCCGTCCGCCCGCCCCACCCCAGGCCGCCCTCGCCGCCCCCCGCCGCTCCTTCCCGCCCCTCGGCCCTCCCGGGCCAGTCTCGGGGCAAAGCCCACCTGGACCGCTGAGCAGGTAAGACGCCGGCGCCCGCGTCGGCAACCAGACCCTCCCGGGGGAGGAGACTGCAAGAACTGGGGGAGGTGGGCCCGAGAATGTGGGAGTCAGCCGAGGGCGCCCCCCTGGGGGTCACAATGCCCCCTCTCCGGGACGCGGCTTGATGATCAGCTGGATCTCCGCTACACCGGGTACTAAAGAACCCCAGATCTCCTGACGCCCCAGAGTGCACGTGGCACAGAATCCAGAAGAGACGATAGCGTGAGGCCAATCCCCGGGAAACAGAAACGGGCAGAGGGCGTGGCAGCAAATCTTCAGGTGCCGCCTTGTGCACCAGCGCCCCAGCTCCCGGGGCCTGTCCCAGGAAGTGCCCCGACACCTCCCCTGAGAGGCAAAGCCGGAGAGCAGTCTCCCCTCCCTAGGCAGATCCAGCTGTGGCACCCCTAACATCCCCGTTTCCGGATTGGCTCCCGGTCCCTGACAATGAAAACGTCCCGCCTTATTAACCCTGTAGTCTCTCTCTAGTAACCTGAGGGGGGCCAGACATGGGGTTTTTCAACTGGGACCCTGTGGTATCACCCCCCAGCTTGATGAAATCCAAGTTCCTGGGTCACACCCCTCTGGGCGAGCCTGATTTAGGAGATGAGGCCTGGAGTTGGTAGCGTGACCAGGAGTCGGGTGGGGTTTTTCTGATACCCTTGGGCATTGTCCCCCCCCTGGTGTGTTAACAGTCCAAGACAGGAAAGGGGGCAGTGGTCCTTAGTGGGCCACAACAGGGCAGAGTGCCCTCTGACCTGGAGGGGGAAGTCTGGAGCCAGGCCACTGGAAATGCCCTCCAAGTTCCCACATGGGCATTAGCTCTTGTTTCTTCTGTTTATTATTTTTGTTATTGTTCTATTTTTCTGTTATTATTTTTGTTTTGTTGTTGTGTTCTTCTATCACAGCTTAAAATTCGCATTTGTTCAACAAATCAGAAAGCAAAGGAAAACTGGCTCTTCGGCATTCAGAGCCCAACTATGTGAGCCGTGAGCCCTGCGCCATAGACAGGGCCCCAGGCGTCGTTCCAAGCTGTGTCCCAGTCCCACTACTGTTGGAATTCTTCATCCCACAGCAGCCCCCCGGGGCCACAGGCTCTTCCGCCCAGGCTCCAGTGTTCCCTCACAACTGTGAGCTTTCCCAGGCCCACGCCGCCAGCACCTTGGGGTGAGCCATGGCCAGACCTGGAGAAGAGCTGCCGCAGGAGGTCTTAGCTCTCATCTTCCGCCACCTGTCCCTGAAGGATCGTGCTGCCGCTGCCCAGGTCTGCAGAGCCTGGGCCGAGGCTGTCACCTGCAGCTCCATATGGCACCACATGAACATCAGGTGAGCTGGGTCCTCCACCACCCCCACAAGTTTTCCCTGGGGAGTGTGGGGAGCGAAAGGTTCAGGAAAAGCCCTATGAAAACACAGATGTTTGCTGAGGACCAAGCCTTCTACACAGGAATGCAACTTCTCCTTAAAACCTTGTGTGCTATGGAGGTAGTATTAGTGCACCCATTGAGCGGATAGTAATGTAAAGTCTCGGGGCATTCACGGTCTCCCCAGGTGGATAGGCCCAGTCAGGATGGGAGCCCAGGAGTCTACAGGCCATACCCACCTAGAGATGGCTGAGAAAGTCAGTTCCTAAAACATCCTTGGCGCTCCTTGCTAAAATTTCAACCTGCATTTCTTCCTCCACCCCAACCCACCACCCCATCTTGGGGATTGCCACCAACTCCTCTTTGACCTCTCCCCTAAGCTGCGACGGTGAGATGGAAAGCACGCTGCTCCCTTCTCTGTTCTCCTGCCTCCACCACATTCGCCATCTCCAGCTGGGGTTTGAGCCGTCCAGTGAGCGGAGCCGGGCCGCCGCCACTGAGCTGCTGACGGTGCTGGCGGACAGGGCCTGCGGGCTGCGAAGCCTGCGCCTGGAGTGTCACGGCGAGAAGCGCCTCTTCGACGCCGGCCGGGACGTGCTGAGTGCAGTGCACGCTGTCTGCGGGGCTGCCCGCGAGCTCCGCCACCTCGACCTGCGGAGCCTGCCCTTCACCCTGGACGACGGGCTGGTGCTGCAGGTGGCTCGTGGCTGTCCCAGACTCCACAGCCTGTTCCTAGACAACCACACATTGGTGGGCAGCGTGGGACCCCAATCGGTGCTAGAGCTGCTAGACGCCTGCCCACACCTGTACGCCCTTGGGCTACACCTGGCCAGTCTGTCACGCACCGCCCTGGAAATGCTGGCCGCCCCGGATCGCGCGCCTTTCAGGCTCCTCGCCGTGCGGTGTGCCTGCCCAGAGGATGCCCGTGCGTCCCCACTGCCTGATGAAGTCTGGGCTGCCGTGCGCCAGCGCAACCCCGGGCTGGCAGTGGAGCTGGAGCTGGAGCCCGCGCTGCCTGTAGAAAGCGTGATGCGCATCCTGCAGCCCACTGTGCCGGTGGCTGCGCTACGTCTCAACCTCTCAGGCGACTCCGTGGGTCCGGTACGCTTTGCAGCGCGCCACTACGCGGACACCCTGCGCCAGCTTGAGGTGCGAGCCGCTGCCTCCGCCACACTGGACGCAGCACTAGAGGAGCTGGCAGCGTGCTGTGTGGGCCTGCGCGATGTGCACTGCTTCTGCGTGGTGAGCCCCTCGGTGCTGAACGCCTTCCGCACTCACTGCCCGCACCTGCACAGCTACACCCTCAAGCTACAACGCGAGCCGCATCCGTGGCGGCCCACACTTGTGGCGTGATGCTTTGGAGACTGGGGATATCCAAAAGTGCCCCACCCCCTCAATCGCTAGCTTTAACCCTCTGGAATTGGGGGCTATCCCAGAGGAGTCCACTTGGTGCTCTCAACCTGGGTGGATTCCCACCCTTCCGGTCGTCATAGGCTCCCCTACACCATCATTCCTCGCCTCTGTCAACTCTGCAGCCCAGGCGTGGGGGCAGGGTAGGCACAGGCACGGGTCGAGTGTGAAATAAACAATCCGGCAGTATCTCAGCATATCGTGAAAGGCAGGGTGAGGAACATGCAAGCAAGCCGTGTAGAGGCGAGAGAGGCCGGCTGGAAGGCTGCTGGGTCAGCCGTGAGACCCTGCATGCCTCCCCCAGACAAGAGGGGCTGCGTTCCCCATACCCCGCTGTACAGATGGGATAAGTCCTCCAGTGAGTGACACTGTGCCCACGCACGTTTTCTAGCCCCCCCAGCCCACCCTAAGCTGCACAAGGGCAACCTCTCCCAAGGCACCAAGTGGTGTAGGGTGCAGGGAGGGAGAGTGGAAGCGATGCGGGGAGCATACAGGAAACGTGAAGAGAGGAGACTTGAACAAGGGTCTCCTCTGCTCGCGCCCCACGCATGCGATCCTGCAGCCTCTGGGTTGTCAGTACCCCGCCGGCCGGCCAGCAGGCCGCTGTCCGAGCCCCGCCCCGTGGGCTCGCACGTGGGCCCCCGCCTGACCCGGCGCCTGGGGGCGGAGTAGGGCGGGGCAGGCGGCAAACGCAGCACTTTCCGTGGCATTGAGCAGCCCGCAGCGTCCGGCCCCAGCGCTGAGCCGGGCCGCCACTGCGCCATGCAGGAAGCGCCCGCCGCTCTGCCTACGGAGCCAGGCCCCAGCCCCGTGCCTGCCTTTCTTGGCAAGTTATGGGCGCTGGTGGGCGACCCAGGCACCGACCACCTGATCCGCTGGAGCCCGGTGAGGGCTGGGGCCCCTCGATCTCCCCCTCCCCACATCCCCGCTCAGGTCTGTCCTGGGGTCCCTCCATGTCAGTGAACACCCAAGCCAACCCAGCCCCCCTGCCTGGGACTGAGCTGTAGAGACCCCCACCCGCCGCACCCATTTTGCGACGCAGGAGGGGATGTGAGAGATGGGGTTTGGGGGCTTTCCCTTGGAGTTGAGGAGGGGTTACGGCTCTTGGAGATCATTTGTTTCTCTGCCCACCCAATTGGGAAGCAAGGTCCAGAAGAAGGGCAGGGCTGCCTCTAGCTTCACATAGGGGGACCTGGGACTCAGGAATGGAAGCTGGGTCCACTGTTATCCCTCCCTTCTGAGAACTGAATGGAGGCTGGGTCAGGTTGGGGGGGCTCCCTGGGGTCCCTCAGGGCTGGTTCTGGCCTGGCTCCATGCTCAACCGGGTAAACAAATGTGAGCAGTGGGTCAGACCAGGTGGGGGTGGGCACCTCTCAGCGGGTCTCCTCTCCAACCCATACGGTGGGCGGGGGGGCACTGCTCGGTAGAGTGGGACCAGTTTTCTCGTAAGCGACCAGAGCCGCTTCGCCAAGGAAGTGCTGCCCCAGTATTTCAAGCACAGCAACATGGCGAGCTTCGTGCGCCAACTCAACATGTGTAAGTGCCAGGGGAAGGGGGTGTGGCGGGTCGCCGGAGATGGACAGAGGCCTGACTCACGCCCTCCCACCATGCGCCCCACTGGCAGATGGTTTTCGCAAGGTGGTGAGCATCGAGCAGGGAGGCCTGCTCCGACCCGAGCGTGACCACGTCGAGTTCCAGCACCCGAGTTTTGTGCGTGGCCGCGAGCAGCTCCTGGAGCGTGTCCGACGCAAGGTGGGGACGGTTGGTGGCAGACGGCGGGGTAGGTCACACCTCCAAGTCGCGACAGGTGGGATGGGGGCCGTCTGCCTTTCACAACGTTGGTGCCTCTGCCCGCAGGTGCCCGCGCTGCGCTGCGAGGAGGGCCGTTGGCGCCCCGAGGACCTGAGCCGGCTGCTAGGAGAAGTGCAGGCTTTGCGGGGAGTGCAAGAGAGCACGGAGGCGCGGCTGCGGGAGCTCAGGCAGTGCGCAGAGCACACAGAGATGGGGTGGGGCGGGGGTCCTTGGGGATCCTGGCCACCAGGGAGTTCTGGATAGCCCTTCCCTCCTCACTGTCTTGGGTCTTGGTGTCTCCAAATGGGTCAAGCCATGAACTATCACCTGGTTGGTCCCAATCTGGCCATTGGGGGGGGGAGGAGCTTGGAGGGATTGACTTGGCAAACTTGCAGAGTTCACCGCACCCTGCCACCCCCATCCCCCAGGCAGAACGAGATCTTGTGGCGGGAGGTGGTGACGCTGCGACAGAGCCACGGGCAGCAGCACCGGGTCATTGGCAAGGTGCTCCTCTTACCAGCCCCTCCCACCCGCACCCTTCTGCCTGGCTTAGCCCTCTCCCTGCTTGCTGGGGTAGAGGCTCTGGGGGGGCATGACACAAATTAACTCTTTGCTTTCTCTTCAGCTGATCCAGTGCCTCTTTGGGCCCCTGCAGGCTGCACCCAGCAACCCAGGAGCCAAGAGGAAGCTGTGAGTGAGGCTGTTGGGATGCTGGAGACACCTGCCCCTTCCAGGACCGGTCCCCTACCCCCTGCAGACACCCCCAGTCAGGGTGTCTGCTCTTCCTGCTGACACCGTCCCCCCCACAGCACACGTGCCCAGAAGGCTTCCTCAGCCCACCCAGCATTTGCCCCTAGCTCTACCACCAAGGTCTCCACTCTTAGATGCCCACTATGGTGTCTCCCAATTCTTACCCCAGCAGCCCCCTCCTCTCCCCTCAAACCAGGCCAGCATCAGGAGGCCTGGGGGTGAGACAGTCCATACTGGGCTCCCTTCCTCCCTCCCCCTTTGCCCCCAAGGGGCCCCCTTCCCTGGGGGGAGCCCCTTCCACCTCCAGCATGTGACCGATGCCCTGGCAACAGGCCTCAGCTCTGCTGACTGTGCTGCTGGGGCCTGAGGGAGGGAGGGAAGTGCAGGCAGAGGGGGTGGCAGCTGACCCTGCCCCCTGGCCTGGCCCCATCCCCCGCACAGGTCTCTTATGCTGGATGAAGGGAATGCGTGCCCACCACCTGCCAAGTTCAGCCCCTGCCCCCTTGCAGGTGCCCTCCTACAAGATCCCTACTTCATCCAGTCGGTAGGCTGCCTTCTCCCTCCTGCCCCCTACCCCTACCTCGGGCACAGCAGGGGAAGGAGACCCTGCTCCTACCCACAATCCCCTCAAAGGAAGAGAAGGTGAGGGGCACGCTTCTCCCCCTAACCCCAGCTCAGAGCTGCTTGTCTCAAACAGCTTCCCTTGGACATGGTCCCCATGGGCTTGTGGCCAGCCTCTGGCTCTCCCTGTGATTAGAGGTCAAGGGCTGGGTCTAGCCTTCTCTTTTCAGCCCCTGCCAGAGAGCACCTTGGGCCTCAGCCCACACAGGGCCAGGGGCCCCATCATCTCTGACATCCCAGAAGATGCACCATCCCCTGAAGGACCCAGGCTGTCACCCTCCAGTAGCGGCGAGAGGTAAGAGCCACAGGGACCACTGCCACGTCCCAGAGAGGGCCTGAAGGAAGGGGCTGTGGCAGCCCAGGGGCTGTAGGGGCGGGGGCAGGGGGAGAGGTCAGTGTCAGGGTCTGGTTGAAGCTTTTCTCCGGTACAGGGAGAAGGGCCTGGCGCTGCTCAAAGAAGAGCCAGCCAGTCCAGGGGGGGATGGCGAGGCCAGGCTGGCCCTGGCCCCAAACCAGTGTGACTTCTGCGTGACAGCCCCCCCACCGCTGCCCGTAGCTGTGGTACAGGCCATCCTGGAAGGGAAAGGGAGCTTCAGCCCAGAGGGGCCCAGGAGTGCCCAACAGCCTGAACCAAGGGGTCCCAGGGAGGTACCAGACAGGTGAGCAGAGCCCTTTCTTGGCCCCAAGCCTCGGGGGCAGGCCACTTGGGCAGGTGGGTTGGCACCACGTTGGGCAGACATGATTTCTCAGCTGTGTCCACCCTTTTGTGGCTGATGGGGAGACAGGGCAATGGGATCTCAAAATACTGACCAACTCACTTCCTCCACATGTGTTCCATGGAACACCAGCACCCAAGGTCATTCTCAGGCAGGTCCCTTAGCTGCACCACAGTGGGACCCAGCAACCTGCACTGCAATGAGTCCACTGAAATAATTGTAAAATACACGCAAGTCAAAGAACCCTGGGCGTTGACATGCCTGCACAGGGGGAAGATGTCGCCCTAGCCTCCAGCCCCCTAACCCAAACCGCCTGGCCCAGGCAGAGGCACTCTCAGTGTCCCCTCAATGTGGGAAGGGCATCCCACCACTGTCCCAAACGTGGGAATTTCATTCCTGATGCTTGCAGACTCCTCAGGGACCTAATGTGGGCTGGCCACGGCAGGCCAACAGCAGTTCTCTGTGCACAGGGGACCTCTGAGCCTGGAAAGGGGTGACCGGAGCCCAGAAAGTCTGCTCCCTCCACTGCTGCTTAGGTCCCCTCCCGAGGGCGTGGAGCCTGGAGCGCCCCTGGATGTGAGTACCCCCAGGGCAGGGCAGGGGCCTGAGACACCATCTCTGTGAGCATTCAGCCTGCTGTCCAGTTTGGGGAAGAGAGCCTCTGACATGGAGCTCTCCCCTCAGGTGCTGGGCCCCAGCCTGCAAGGCAGGGAATGGACCCTGATGGACTTGGACATGGAGCTATCCTTGGTAAGATGAAGGTGGGGGTAGGCATGGGGTCGGGCGTAGCATCTCACCCTTGTGTGTCTGGCTGGTAAGCCCAACCCAGGTCTGCAGGGGGGGGTGCCCCAGCTCCCCACCCTGACTGCTTTCTGGGGTTCTGTCCCCTAGATGCCACCCTTGGGTCCAGAGAGGGATGAAACTGAGCTGGCCGTCAAGGCACTAAGTTCTCCCGGCCCAGGTAATGCGGGGATGACCCAGGATCCCGGAGGAGGCCGTAGCTGAACTAGTTATTACTCTGATGGGCTGGGGAGGGGATGTTATTTTGCAGGGAGATTCCCCCCAGCACAGCCTCCCTCCCGGCCCCCTATCTTCTCACTACTGGGCAAGTGAGATGGGCAGATTAGAAATGTTCCACAGCAGCAGGCATGGCCACTGGCCACCCGCCTCATTGCCACTGCTGAATGCAGCCCTGTTTTCCCTAGGGAAGGAGGCCCCTCTGGGGGCCCCACTCCTGCTGGACGTCCAGGCGGCCCTGGGAGGCCCAGCCCTCAGCTTGCCTGGAGCTCTAACACTTTACAGCAGCCCTGAGGGCCGGACCTCCTACCTGGGCCCAGGGGCCAGTCCCTCCACGTGAGCGAATGTCCATGCAGCTGGGCTGGCTAAGTGCCCAGTCCACAGCCCAGCACCACTCTTGGCTGTATGGCGCCACCTGGAGGCAGCAGGGGATGGTCAGCGAAGCCCCCCTGCCGTGCCGGCCTCTCTTCAGCACCCTAAGTCCCACACATAAACTGCATTTTTTTTTCTGTGTTTCTGCTCTTTTTTCCTCTCTCCGTACAGTCCTGGGGAGGAAGGGCAGGGTGGGGGGCGGCGGAGGGAGGGATGTGAGGGCTTTCCATTCCTAAAAGCAGTCAGGTCCTCAGGCTTTCATGAGTCTCTAGAAGGTAGGGGTGCTGGGGAATGGTGGGTACAGGGTGGACCCTCCTGCTTAGAGCCCACATCCAGGGCTCCCCTCTGGCCACAGCCACCTCAGAGACACACCCAGCACGGCAATGCGGCTTACTGTGACCACGAGTAGTTCATCCCCTTCTCTGAGCCTGGCTTCTGAGAGAGAGAGGGTGAAGCAAGAATACAAGGAAAGCGCCTGGCAACTGGCAGATCCAGAGTGGGCGCGGGACGCGTGGGGTGCGGGCCCACCTACCCTCTCCCCAGCTCATCTTCCCGGACGTGCTCCCGGGACAGCCTGGTGTCCCCATGTGGAGCCCGGACGGAGGTGGGGGTGAGGGAACACCCCCCCCATTCCCAGCAGCCCTGGCCGCCCCGCCCCCACCCCGCCGGGCTCTTTCTGCACCGTCATCTCCCGCCCGCTCCACCGAGGCCCAACCCGGGAGTGGGGACACCCAAACGGGCCGGATCCAGAGCTCCCGCTCCTCCTGGCGAGGGGAGGGAAGGGAAGCAGATTGGGCAGAAGCAGCCTCACCACCTGCAGCTGAGCTCCGAGGAGGTCTGTGAGCCCCGCCCGGCCACAAGACTGGGGGGCCAAGGAGGTGAAGTGCAGCCTGGAGCACGCACATGCGCAAAGGCATCCTCTGATTCCCACGACCCTGGCTGCCTAGCGAGAAAACAGCAGGTGCAGCGAGGCGGCGCGGGGGCTCAGGAAGCCGGCTGCTCGCCTGGCGCCCAGGCAAACATCTGGCCTGTGACCCCTTCCTGAAGGATTGATCAGGACAGGAGCTCCTTGTTAATGTCGGGTCTGTGAGAGCAGCCAGCATCTCAGGGAACACAGGAGCAGGAACCAGGTTGGGATCCTGGGCAACATCTGGGTCTTGGAGGACAAAGGAAAGGGCTCAACAGGCTTGCAGAATAGAATGAGCAAAGGCTCAAAGGTGCTGGGGGAACACAGTGAATTCTGCCAGTGCCAGCACCAAATGGCGAAGGGAAACACGCAAGAGCTTGGCTGTCCAAGGCAGAGGGATAGACCTAGAGCAGCCAGACCACGCAGCTGGACTCCTCAGGGGTGGACAGCCAACTACATTACAGTTCAGGCTGGAGCTGTGTATTCCAGTCCTCAACGCAGTCTGAGCCTGTGTGGTCAGCTGTAAAATGTGACAGGAAAGCCTAGGGGTCACCAAGGTCACTGTGCTGTACAGGTGGGGGAATTGGAGGGGGAGGCACTGGGGGAGAGGGGACAGTTACAGACAAGATCATGATGCTCTGGCCATAGGCAGGGGGTCCCAGAGGCTCCCTGCCATGGGGGGTGGCCTTTATCATAAACATGGTGGGAAAGGAACAGTGGGCATCTCCACAGGGGAGCAGGCACAGGAGGCCTGGGGGTGTGAAACAACCACAGGAGCCAGAGTGTGACACCAGGGGATACCGAGGCAGGCCTGGGAGGCAGGATGAGGATGGGACTCGATCCTCTCTCCTGAGGACACCCAGCCTCTGGGATCCAGGTAATGGGGGGTCACCAAGGACAGAGGCAATGGGGAGATGGGAGGAGTCCAGGTGGTCCAGCCCCAGCAGGGGGTGGCCCAGGCTGGACCTCCTGGCCTTTCAGGGCTAGGGATCTTACCAGCTGAGCCAAGCCACCTGAGCACATTGGCAATAAATGGAAAAAGTATCCATGCATTCATTTGTAGTGAACCACCCCCTGTTTGGTAAACATGCTCAAAATAAGGAGTTTGCAGAGAAAACGCTGGGCCTTCAGCAAGCAGTTGGGGCTGGCCTTCTTGCACCCAGCCTGGGGCACTTCAGCATCCAGAAGGACACAGCTGGGAGTCAGGTCCAGGCAGCAAGAGACAGCCAAGTCTCAGGGGATGTCAGATGCTGGCCAGAGGGAGGACTCAGGCCGCTCTGCCCAGATGCCAGGGAACTAGTGTGGGCTGGGAAACCAAGCCAGAGCCGCAACATGGCAGGCAGGGGTGGGGGTGGTGAGGGTACCAGGGTAGAGCCTGTCCCAGACAGGTGGACTTGGGTGAGAAGAACAGGGAGGGCACTGCTTTCTGGGGACCCAGGGGTGGATGGGAGGGGAAGAGTGTGGAGATGTGGAGCCGTGGGTCCCAGGTACTGCAGCAGGGGACAAGCTGCAGGGGTACTGCAACTGGGGAAACCGACTGGAGGGGCCGTGACTGCCAGTGGAGTGCGAGGCAGTATCGTGGTCAGTGCTAGGTTTGTTTTGTCCTAGGTGGCAGGCGCCCACAGCTGACGCGAGGGGGAGGAGCCTGCGAAGGAGTCAGGACAGCTGCAGCCGCGGTGGCAGACAGGACAAGTTCCGGGCGGGGCCTTCTGGCTAGATCGCATCTTCAAGTATTTACTGGGGCTCTGGGTGGAAGGTCAGGGGCAGAGCAGCCCCAGCCCGCACGGCTTGTTTCTTTCCTGCAGCCCCCACCATGGGTAACACGCAGGAACGACCCTCCCAGACCATCGACCGGGAGCGCAAACGCCTAGTGGAGACACTGCAGGCAGACTCGGGGCTGCTGCTGGACGCGCTCCTGGCGCGGGGCGTGCTCACCGGACCCGAGTATGAGGCTCTGGATGCCCTGCCCGACGCTGAACGCCGGATGCGCCGCCTGCTGCTGGTGGTGCAGAGCAAGGGCGAAGCCGCCTGCCAGGAGCTGCTGCGCTGTGCCCAGCAAACTACGCGTGCGCCCGACCCGGCCTGGGACTGGCAGCACGTGGGCCCGGGTGAGCGCGCCGGGGGTGACCCCCCCCCGGGGAGCGGGCACAGTGCTGGGTGCAGGCCGCTGGGAGGACGGAGCTGGTATTTCCCCCCATAGGTCTGAGCTGAGGTCCTGGGGAGAATTCCCAAGGGCCCTGAAACCCTCTCCTTCCCATCCCAGGCTACCGGGACCGCAGCTACGATCCCCCATGCCCAGGCCACTGGACGCCTGAGGCCCCCGGGTCTGGCACCCTATGCCCAGGGCTGCCCAGAGCTTCGGTGGACCACGATGACACTGGGGATCCTGAGGGATCCGAGACTGTGCAGTCCAGGACCCCAGAAGAGCCAGAAGTGGAAGGGGCTGAAGAGAATCTGGACCCAGAACCAGGACCGGAACTGGACCCTGAGCCAGAACTGCAACCAGAACCAGAACCAGAACCTGAGCCAGAGCCAGAGTCCGACTTCCAGGAGGCAGAGGAGGCAGAGGAGTCCGAAGGTGCGAACAAGCAAAGCCTGGGAGGGAAGGGGAAGGAGGGTGGGCATGGCCAGGGAGGAGGAGTGGGAGCCCCACCTTACTGACCGCCCTCCTCTTCCTGTATAGATTCCTGAAGGCCAGAGCTTTGAGCCACCACTCCCTGCTGTAGCCCACGCTGTGGGAGAGCCTGGGATTCGTGGAGTGCTGCCGGGCAGGCTGGCCTACTAAGCTGCCAGTGAATAAACCCCAGAGCCGGCCTCGGCCTGGGTTCTCTCCATGGTTGTGCTGCTTGACCACAAACTGAGGGTGGCAGTGGTGGGGTACACACCTGAGTCACCTCCCAAAACACACGCCCTCCCAGCCCATTTCACAGCTCTGTTCTGCTCTCCATAACCCCAGCCACACCCTGGGAGGTTCCAGACTTGGGTTCCTAGCAGGGTCTGGGTCCTTCTCCATGTCTCTTTTCTCACCAGGTGGACGTGATGTGCCCCCCCCCATCCCACCCCAGCCCCTGCAATTCTGTGGAAGCTCTGAGCCAGGGGCAGGGACCCAAGCAAGGCAGACTTCCTCAGAGCTCAGAGCCCTTGGCAGTGAGCTTAGATAAGGCGGCAGGAGGGAACTGAGTAGACAGAAGCCACACACATCACTGAAATTACTGTTTTAATCATCCAGCTTCCCTCTGTCCTGGGGGCGGGAAGGGGTTCTGATGGGCCACAGGGACACACACAGCGCTCTATGCATACTGAGTAACTAAATGAGAGCCTTCCCGCTGCGTGAGTTTTATAGATGAACAAGCTAAAGCCAAGCACAGCAGTGAGATGGCTGGGTCACCTCTGTACCCTTCTCCTGGTCCCAGGGTGGGCTCAGGGGACAGTTAGCCCTGGGCTGGAGGAAGAGGGCCATGCCCCTCAGGCTTCCTTGAGGCTGCTCCCAGGGGATGCCAGGCTCTGCCAAAGACCAGCTGTGACGGCACAGGCAAAGCCAGCCAGTCAGCAGCAGAGGTCGTGGCCAAAGGGACGGGGTGTGGAGCGGGGAGGGCTGGTGGAGTTCCAGGCTGCACCCACAGCGCCCAGACCTCAGTGTATGTACACACGTGCATGAGACGTGAGAACAGTCCATGCCCACCAGGGGTGTCCTGGTCTACCACCGAGTGTGTCCCCCAGCTGCAAGAGGTACAGCAAGTCATCACGGAATAAATGCATGACCAGGGTGGAGCCAGATTCTGGGATGCAAACCCCAGCTCAGGCTTGGAAGAGGGGCATTCCCAGGCACCCAGGTTCTGTCTCTGCAGGAGATGGATCCCAACCCCAACCGGGTCCCAATAAGAGGTAGACAGCACAAACGCTGGAGGAGCACCGAGGGGCCAGGTGAGGGAAGAGAGATGCTGGGGGACCTTGGAGCCCCACTGTTGTCTAATGCAATAACAAGTCTGTCCTTTCAGATCACCCCAATGCTCATCAACACTCAGTTTCTCTCTGCCCCAGGTCCCCTATCTGCTCGACAGAGAGAGGAGGCAGGCCGGCCTCAGGCCCAGGGAGGGTGTCAGAGGACGCACAACCTGACAGGATCACTCCCCTTCCCAGGATGGTCCTGCTCCTGTCACACACATTCCCCGCCACCACCCACCACCAACACCCCCAAGAAGCACTCAGGCTGCAAAAGCACACACAGGACCAACAGAGCATCATGTTCTGGGAGCTGCCCAGACGGGGGAGGGGGGGTGCCCTCTGTCCAGGGCCACACCCTGGTAGTGTGAGAACTGTCCACCCACATCAGTCAGGCAGCAGGCGGCCCAGCTCAGCCTCATCCAGCCGGTTGGTGGCCATGATATGCTCCAGCTGCTGCCGGTAGCGCGCCAAGTCCTGCATGAAGTGGGGCACCCGGGTGTTATCCAGCACTCCGTGGGGCCGCAGGTGGTCCACATCCTCATAAGACACCTACAGGCAGGAAGTGGGGTGCAAGCTCACCATGGACATCCCCCTGCCCCATGCACTGCCTATGTCCTGGAGGCACAGGCTCAGGCCAAGACTCCTTGCACACTCTGATCACACCCATGGCATGGAACCTCAGCCCCTTCTCCAGCCCAGCTTTCCCCAGCCAACACCACACTCCCGGCTGCCAACACGTCAGCCCTACCCTCTTCGCCATGATTCGGTCAGGGTCCAGAGAAGGAGCCCCTCTCCCACTCCGGGTACAGCTGCTCCTTCCTCTCTCATGGTGTGGTCCCTGTCAGGTTCGCCATTCATTCTACACAGGTGCCCTCCTCCTCCTGCCCCCACACTCACTTCCCCTCTCAGCCACTCCCATTCGCCTTCCTGCGGTCAACCAGGAACAACCTTTTAAAGGCAACACCTCTGCTGTCCCTTTGCTTCACACTCTGCCAGTTCCACATTGCCTCCAATAGGCTTCGCTTTCCTCATTCCAGAATACACTCATGTATTCTGGCACTCGTGTCCAGTGAAAGAGGCTTGGGCCCTAGCCCACCCCATTCCCTGGGACTGCCCTACCTCCTAGCCTCTTTTGAAAAGCAGTAACTGCACACCTGCAGGCTTTGCTACTGAATGCCAGATTAGCATTTCACCTCCTGCCCTCAGCTCCACTCCCACCAAGAAGGCCTGGCATCCAGCCCGCAGCCCAGCACGACTGTGAGGCTCAGGGACTCCTGTGGTCAGGATGGGCCGCAGTTCCTCACCTTGCCCAGCGAGGTCAGCAGTGGAAAGTCGATGGTCTGTCGGTGCCGCAAGATGCGCACACTGCCGTCCAGGTACACCTGGTCCTTGCTGAAGCAGCCTGGGAGCGCGAGCATGCGCGGGAGCAGACACTGAATCCTCTCCCCAGAGTCCCACAACCCCGGCCCCCACTACCCATAGCTCAGACCCCTGCCCGGCCTACCCGGCTTGGAGGTGTCAGTCTGGCCGCGTTTGGCGCGCACGCAGTACTCCCAGCGCACGTTGGCGTCCTGAACGTAGCGCGCCAGGTCCTGGAAGAGCTGGCGGAAGGACATGTGCGCGGCGCGATGGATGGTGTAGTAGAGCAGCGCCGCACGCCACAGGAAGGGCTGCTTGCGGAACAGCACGCTGTGCAGGCTGGCCAAGCCCTCCTCCGTGGGGTTGGCCGGCCGCAGCCCGTACCGCTGCCGGCCCTCGGCGTTGTGCCACGGCTGCCGCGCATTGTTCACGCCCCGCAGGTAGTGGGTACCTGCAGCGGGGAGACGGCGCTAGGCGGGGCGGCCGGCACACCACCTGGTGCACCCTCTAGTGGTGACGTTGGTATCTTCACGCGCTCGAATGTAGACTTGCATTGGGGGCTTCTGTGGCCCTAGACCAGCCATACTCACCCAGCCCTAGGCAGTGTGAAGACCCTCCTAGGGTGCACTCGCTTCTGGGGCCCCCAGGTGACTCCTGCCCCGCACATTTAGGGCCGGACACACACACACACACACACACCCCCCACACCCCCGGATGAACCCATCATTTTGGCAATCAAACTCATAGCCTCAGCAAAAATCACCTTTTACCCATGGCAACAGGATTCTGGCTGAGGAGGGACAGTCGGAAAAGAACAATGATGTAGTCTCCTCCCTCCACAGCCTAGCCTGTGCCCTCGGGAACTGGGCTGTGTGTCCTCTAGCCAGTTCTAGCCCCATGTTACCCCAGGATCCAGCCTTCCTTCATCCCCAGGGGCCTGAGCATTGCCTGGGTTGGTTGGACACTGTGTGCTCTCCCTGTGGTCCCGCACAGCCAAGGAAGGGAGAGCAGAGAGAAAGAGAGAAAAGTCCCCAAATGGAGCAAGAGATGAGGCTGGAGCCCATAGAGTGGATAGGCACATTCCGACCCACCTCTGAGAGATGGAGGAGGTGACTGCTCACCAAGGGAGGGGGGTTCTGCCCCACCACTGCCCACCCCAGCTCCTGTCCCCCCCAACCTATTTCGTGGCGCAGCATGCCCTCCAGCCAGTGCTGGCGGGCTCCAGTCAGGTTGATGGCCAGTGTGGGCCGACTGTTCTCCACCATCATCACTGCCTGGGACAGCAGGTCCTCACTCAGCTGTACCACAACCTGGAGGGAATAAAGCATGGAGTCACAGCCACACACCAGGGGGGCCAGTGGGCAGGGTTGGGGTTGGAGAGCCTGGCTGGTTGGCCACCTGGCCAGGACCCCCTCCTCTTCCCCCACTTCGGGGCCTAGAAACTTCTGCTTAGAGCCAGCTCCCACCTGACCAGGGCAAAGGCAGCAAGACAGTCTAGGGTCATCAGCTGTGCAGGTGCAGAGAGGCCCTGGGACCGCCCAGCCCGGCATGGGCACACTCACCTCCCCCACACAGCCCTCTTTCTGCATGTATTTGCGCACAATGGACCAGATCTGGCACTTGGTCAGCAGCTGACCCCCTGTGGCCGCCTCAAAGTGCTCATAGGTGCCAAACTTCTCCAGGACAGCCTCGATGATGCCAACTGCCTACACACAGAGGCCACAGCAAGCTGGTCAGGCGAGGGCCATGGGCTGATCGGGTCAGAAGGGAGGGGTATGGGCTACACTCACCTGATGGATGAACTGTCCTGAAGCCTCACAGTATTTCTCTAACACAGCTGTGGGCATGGGTTCCTGGTACTCAAACTGTGGGTTATAGGTGTAATGGGATTGGAAGAACTTGTCCCGCTCACGGTCCATATTGGTGGGTCGTAGGGCCACCAACATGCAAGGACTCTTGCTGGCACCGCTGCCCATGTCCCTTCGAATCTTAGCAATGTGAGGCAAGGAAGCGGCAGGCCTCAGGGTACCCCAACCGGAGTCCCGTCCCCGTCGGGGTGGGGCCTGGCTCTGGGAGCTGCGGCCATGGCGGCCTGCACTATTTACAGAGTGGGTGCTTTCGCTACGACACATGTGGCTCCGGGAACTCAGGTGCAGCTTGGAGAAGGGCTGCCGCTTGGACTGAGGCTGCTGGAGTCCTGAGGGGACAGCAAGAGCAAGGGGCAAGGCCAGGGTCTGAGGCCAGGGGTACAGGGATGGCCCATCTCTCTCAGGGGGCTTCAGCCTAGGTTGCGAAGATGAGGGGCTCGTTGGGGGGCTGGTGGGGGCCTGCTCATACACCTGAGCCCCTGAGTCCAGCACCATTCTGTCCTGATGGTCACATGCAGCCGGGTGGCTCCAGCTCCCCACTGGATCGGCGTCTAAACACACAAAAGGGCATCATGGCATAAGTGGGTGTGGCCAGAAGCTCCACAGGCCCCGTAGCGCTCCAAGCTCCATGCTGCCTGAGCTGGGCCCTTACTGAGCTTGGAGTCTGCTGGTTGGCAGCCAGAGCTCTGAGCAGCTGAACCGTCCCTCTCAGTCCGGTATCTCTTTCTTCTAGTACATTCTCCCAGGCAGGCTAGCGGGGGAGGGGTGAAGAAGGATCTCACACACCCACCTGGATGATGCTTCAATAAGCTCCAAAGAGCAAGGACTGGTCCCTACCCACGCATTTGATCTCTGGGTTCACTCTAAAACTGCTATAGCATAGGCTCAACTACCTTGATAGGCCACAGGGGAAGGGGCCTCAACCTCCCCAAACACACACAGCTTCCTTGCCCATGTGCCCAGCTCTCCTTGCCCACGCTGTCCTACCCGGGGTACCCTTCCTCCACTGGACCATCCATTCAAAGCTGAAATCAGATCTGGTTCTTGGGGAGCAGAGGGGAGCTTCAGCAAATGCAAGCGAACCCCTGGCCCGTATCTGAAGTACTTCTACCTCAGTCCCCTGAGGCTGCTGGGGCTCACAGGACCCCAGGGAGCGTCCCTCCTCTGGCCCCCATCACTGTCTCTCTGTCCCCCGGACTCTTTTTGTGAGCACGAACACAGGCTCTTATTGCTCCCTCTTGCCCAAATCAAATCATCTCTTGAGGCCGCACCTGTCTGGCTCCAGCTCCACAGCTGGTAACTCCCTCTGGCTACACTTCTCTGCAGAACTGGACCTCCAGTCATCTAGACCCAGCCTCCATTCTTTCCTGTTCTCTCTTTTTAAAAGAGTGGCTTATTTATTTGAAAGGCAGAATTACAGACACGTAGAGACAGATCTTCCATCTGCTGGTTCTCTCTCCAAATGGCAACAGCTCAGGGCTAGGCCAAGCTAAAGCCAGGAGCCTAAAATCCCAGCTGGGTCTCCCACATGGGTACAGAGGCCCAAGCATTTGGCCCACCCTCTATTGCTTTCTCAGGCACGTTAGCAGGGAGCTGAGTAAGAAGTGGAGCAGCTGAAACTTACACTGGCACTTTCATGGGATGCTGGGATTATAGGCAACAGCCTAACCCGCTGCACCACAATAGCCCCCTGCTCTATCTTAAATTCACCCCCAACTAGGCATATATCCCCTGTTCTCCTCAAAATAGATTTGACCAAGGCAGCAATATGGCTCAGTGGGTTAGCTGCTGCTTGCCACCCCAGCATCCTGCACTGGAGCGTTGGTTCAACTCCCGCTGCTCCTTTTCCAAATGCAGCTCCCTGGTGTGTGCCTGGGAAAGCAGCAGAAGAAGGCCCAGGTCCTTAGGTGCTGCCTCTCATGTAGGAGACCAGAATGGATTTCTCACTCGTGGCTGAAGCCTGGACCAGCCCCAGCCATTTTGGGAGCAGACCAGTGGGTAGAAAGTCTCTCTTTTTGCTTTTAAAGATTTCTTTATTTTTATTGGCAAGTCAGATTTACACAGAGAAGGAGAAACAGAGGGAAAAGATCTTCCATTCACTGATTCACTGCCCAACAGGCCACAGTGCTGAGCCAATCCAAAGCCAGGAGCCAGAAGCTTCTTCTGGGTGTCCTATGTGGGTGCAGGGTTCTAAGGTTTGCGCTGTTCTCAACTGCTTTCCCAGGCCACAAGCAGGGAGCTGGAAGGACGTGGAGCAGCTGGGATACAAATCAGTGCTCATATGGGATCCCAGCACGTGCAAGGTAAGGACTTTAGCCACTAGGCTACCGCACCAGGCCCAGAAGATCTCTCTCCCTCCCTCTCTTCTCCCCACTCCCATCACATTACCTTCCAAAGAAATCACTGTTTAAAAAGTTGATCTGTGGACATGGTGCAGTAGCCTAGCAGCTAAAATCATCACCTTGCATGTGCTGGGATCCCATATGGGCACTTAATCATGTCCCAGCAGTCCCACTTCCCATCCAGCTCCCTGCTTGTGGCCTGGAAAAGCAGTCGAGGATGGCCCCAAAACCTTGGGACCCCTGCACCCACGTGGGAGACCCAAAAGACACTCCTGACTTCAAATTGGCTCAGCACCAGCCATTTGGCCACTGGGGGAGTGAATCAGTGAACAGAAAATCTTCCTCTCTGTCTCTCCTATTCTCTGTACATCTGACTTTCCAATAAAAATAAATCTTTAAAAAAAGAAGTTGATCTGTCCCAGGTCACTGCTGATTTCACCTTGACCGGCAGCACCTGCCATGGTCCATCAGTCATCATGAACACCTACTCTCCACACTGCCTGGCCTTTCCAGCAGCCTCCTGCCTAGGTTTCTTACCTCATGGCTGATCCTCCCTGGTCCTCCTTGCCAGCCATCCCTCTCCCTGCAGCATCTAAGCTCTCAAAACTTAACTTTAAAGACTCCAGCTCGGACTCCAGCCGTAAACCGTAGGCCGTCACGGCCAGATTCACTGCAGCATCTTGGCTTAGCAGGTTCTCTGTCTGAGCATCATCGCTCCTCCCCCCACCTGCCCTTTCTCCATGACTGCATGGGCCACTCCCTCTCCTGAACTCTCTCCACCAGGGCCATGCAGTTAGACCAGCCTCCACAGCACAACCCCTGAAAAGTGGACAGCCTCCCCCCTTCCCCACGCCCGCCCCTGTTCTGGCCCTCAGCAGCAGTTCTCATGGTGCAGGGCTTGCTGCATTTCCCTTCCCATGAGTTCTGGGCACCTGATTGTGGGTTCTCCTTCCCAGCGGCCCCAGTTCTGTTTCCCACCCCGCCACTCCCCTCCACTCTGCCCGGGGACTATCTGCTTGGAAAGAGTCCCAGCCTCAGGTTTCAGTCCCCTCAGCTAACTGCACGTCCTGGACTCCTCCCTGGTCTAGGGCCACCTGGACCAGCTCCCCTGCTTTCATTCCACCTACCTCTTTGCAGTGGCCAGAATGAGACTGTTTTGCTTTCACATCTCAGGTCCTTCCGCCAAGATCGGCCCTGCCATCAGCAGCCTGGAGCCAACACTGAACCATTCCTCAGGGCTTGCTGTAGCCGCCCCCCTCAGCGTCTAGAGGGTCCTAGTGTCTCTGCGGCTTTGGGAGCACCCCAGGCCGTCACGGCGGAAGCCTAGGTCCGGGTCCCCCACACCACGACCATCCCCTTAACTCGCGCAGGGAGGGGCGCGTTCGATTCACCTCCCGTCCCAAGCATCCAGTGCAAGATGCAGAATGAATGAAAGCTGGATGGCAGAGGAGGAGCCCGCGCCTACTGGAGGCGGGGCCTGGTGACAACTGAGAGGGTGCGGCCTGCGCCAATGAGAAATCCTGGGAGAAGATAACGTGGCAGGAGAGCCAATGAGAACCGAGAGATAGAGGAGGTTGGTGAACCGCAGCCAATAAGCGACGGAGAACAGAACTGAGGGCGTGCCCAATGGAGGGTGGGGCCAGAAGACAATGGAGCGGGGCTTCTCAGCGCCAGCGGCGCAAAGGACGCACGCCCTCAGGGGCGCGCACGCTCTTAAGGCGAAAGGATTCGCGTCAGCTTCCGCGCGGGCGCGCGCCCGAGACCCCTGAGGAGGTGGGGCCAGGAGACCGGGGCGTGGCCTGCGGGCGCCTGGGACCGCCCCCTTGGCCAGGCCGCGGCTCTGCAGACCCCAGGCTCTTAGAAACGCGAGGGGGCGCACGTGGAGGACTGGAGCCTAGACAGCTTGGAGAGGTGGACGCCCCGGCCTTCACGGGCACTTTTATTTCATCCCCTTCTCCCCAACACACACACACACATACACAGACCCACGCACACGCGCAACAGCCTAGGGGTGGCCGTGGCTAACGTCCGCAGGCAGCCTAACGTCAGGCGCAGGACCCCGAGGGCAGACAGGATGGCGACGAGGGCGTGGGGGCAGGCACGAGGCTGAAGAGTGCCCGGCGGCCACTGGCGGGCGGCGAAGGCGGCGGGCCCGCCTGCAGGGAGCTGAGCGCCGCCTGACGCTGCTCTCGCGTCAGGTCCCCACGCAGGTCCAAGAGCGCCGAGACATGGTCCTCGCTGCAGCGGGAAGACGAGTGAGCTCCCGGCCGCACCTCCCGCACCCCTCCTACTCCCGGCTCCCAGCCCCTGAGCACCTCACGTCTGGGAATTGCTGCCGCAGTCCGGCCACCTCGAGGCCGAGCAGCGTGGGGTCCCGGAGGCTCAGCAGCTCTCCAAGCTGCAGCAGCACGGGCGCGCAGTGTGCGCTCTCCTCCAGCTCCTGGGCGCATCGTTGGGGAGTCAGGGGTGGCCCGCGGGGATGGGTCCCCCGCCTATTGAGATGCCCTGCCCCTCTGCCAGCCCGACCAGTTCCTACCAAGCCTAGGAAGAGCTCCCGAAGCTGGGCGGCATCGTGCCGTAAGCGCTCGGCCGCCTGGGCGCGCTCATCCGCACCGCGACACACCAGGCGGCCCTGCATCAGCGCGCGCAGGTACTGTAACACAACGGCGCGCTCGGCCTCGGCCAACAGCAGCTGAGGGGAAGGCGAGGCAAGCGGGTGTTTTGAGGACAGGTCCCCCTCCGACTGCACCGAACTGCCCCTCTCGAGGCCCCCTCCGCCAACGCACCTGGACCTCGGGGCTCCGCACGTGCCCGAATTCCCCACAGAAACGTGCTGTGCGCTCACAGACACCATCCAGCAGCTCAGAGCTCGACAGCCACTGGCGAGAGGGCAGAGCCGCAAACAGGGGCTGCAGATGGTGTGGGGGTCAAAACGCGCATGGAAAAATACTGACCCAAGTCCCCAAGACGCGGAAGCTTCCCTCAGAGAACCTCTTGCACACACACACACCCTTCCATCCTAACTCCGACGCCAAAGGAAGCCTTACCTGAAGCTCCAGCAGCAACGCTTCCAACACCAGGCGACAGATCCTCCTCTGCAGCTCGTCTAGCGCGGCCTCGACTGGGGCCAGGGCTCCCGGGGCCGCCACTTCG